GTGCAATGTTTTCAGACAGACTGGAAAGCAGCTGTTACTTTTTTGAGTGTGTGAATGTGTGTGTGTGTGTGTGTGTGTGTGGTTGCGAGTATGCGTGGGTATGTAAATATATATATATATAAATATATATATAAGTGTATGTGGGTGTGTTGCTGCTTATGCGTGCTTACGATGACAGGAAGCACCTTTTTCTAACAAGGAGAAGTGAAAACAACCTAAGATCTTTTTTTCTAACATGCTCTTACATTGGAGCCGAATAGAATGTGTGTCAACATGTTATTCAGATAGATTCAGACATGGTGACGTAGCTCAAGTAGAGGAAATCTGTATTTGGTAAAAAGTGTTTCTTAAATCATCAATTACTACCTGTTGGATATAATTAAGCAGTGTGATGAAGCTCTCCTAATGCCTGATGTTACCAAACTTTTTTTCTTTATCAGAAAAGTCCTTTTCCGAACAAATATGGATCAATATGCTATTGCTTTCTTGTTTCTGTTCTGTCTTATTCTCTTTCTCTCCAGCTCTATCTCTTCTTCTTAAACTCATTTCTGCCTTTACTGTTGTTGTTTTCTTTTCTTTCTTTTTTTTATCTTTTAAATAGTATACATACCCCTGCTGCTTTATTACACCAGTTTTATGTAGTACAACCAGATTAATGCTACCTGTCTTTGATTACTTGATTGATTTGGTTTGTTTTGAATGAAGCCGTTCTGCTGTTAGTAATTTATAAAAGGGTTTTTTATTTGTCCTGACTGAATTTGGGTGCACTAACATTTGGGGTGCTATTATCTGTTATAAACACTGAATTTGTGAACTGTTTACACATTTTAACTTAACTGATCAACTGATCGTCTACCCAATTCCCTCCAGATCTTTAACCTCATTACAAACTGGAACAAGAAACTGTAAAGAGGTGGGGGTCAGCATTTTGCATTTTTTTTTTATGTTATCGGTTATTGTTTGAGCTGAGTAATGAATTCAAAATATTTGATTTGACTAATTCAAACTCTTTCTCTCATGTTTGAATCTGATTAAGACAGGGATACTCAGCTTATTTATAACAAGAAGTCTTTTTTCTTTTAAGGTTGTAGAAATCTACTGCAGAGCGGATACCTGTCTCTGTGACAACAACAGTACGGCACGGCATGGCTGTTTCACAAATGTGTGCCTTTATCAGGGTTTGGCTGCAGGCAGTTTTTAAACTCCTATTGACAGGAAAGTGTAGGTAGAGGTATGAATACACAGTTATTTGTCAGTGGGCAGTCAGGTCATTGTAAATTCAGATACACTGTAACAGAAGGATTCTCCTGAACGATTACAGACATGTTAACGTGTTTGCTGTCTCACATTACAAGTGGGAGTGGTCTTAGCAGGCCATTTGCCCCTCAGACGGATAAACAGAGATGGTACTAATGACTACTGAGGGAAGCCAGGAGGTGTGATGGAGACTCAACGGCAGCTTCAGTTCAGCAGGACCCCTCCTCCCATTAGTCTGGCTGGAGTTCGGGCTCCTGATGCCTCTGTTTATGCAAGAAGGTACTTATATTGATGGAGGATGGGTGGAGAGCTTAAAGCTGGACATATACAATATATATATAATGGAGAGTTAATGATCTGTTGACTATATGATTGTCAATTTGCCCCCCAAGACCCTCTCTCTGCCTCAATAGGAAAAGGGTCTATACTGTACAATATTAAACACTGGCATTGGATTATTTAAGGAAGTAAAGAAACACATTTAAGGCAAGGTTAAATATATACAAGAGACATTAAGTGAAAAATAGGAATATACATTCCAAGGTAATTTCTGTGAAATTGTTTTTAGAGAAGAGGTTTTAAGAATGTATTGTACTTTTATTTTGATTTGTTGTTTTTTGCAAATAAAAATTAATGCTTACATCCAGGTAATTTTACGGATCTGTTTACTATATTTTGGTTTGGATTTGTACATTTTTGCCTCTTTACAAATCATTTTTTGAGAGGAGGAACATATTCGAAATAAATAATTCCTTCTGTGACCACATGGGGGTGCTCCACACATATTTACATACTACCTGTGAAAGTGTAGTGGTTAAATGGCTACTGACACAAGTGATTAACTAATTAAAAAAAAACATATAATATTAAGCAAGGGTGGGTTTACTCGGGAAATGATAAATGAAAGATAAAAAAATCCCCAATCCCCATGTGCACACATGAACAAACATAGTATCTAGTTTCACTTCCTCTATGCAACCAGTTCAACTTCCTTAATGACATGAGTAGGAGGCTCATTTTACCAAGACAGTTTGGTAGCTGAAAGCTTTATAAATTGCAGTAAAAAATATTCCTAAGTAAGAGCAAAACAAAATTAAGTGATCTCTCCACAAATATATGACAAATCATCAACCACCTTGCCAAGATATGATCAGGCCTTGCTACACTTTTATTTCCCTTTAGAATAAAATATTATCAGTCCCAGAGCCTCTACAACTCTCCTCTTTTTATCATTCTGACATCATTGTCCTTTTACCCATTCAAAGTTAAATTGAATTACACAGAATTTTACTCCTGTGTTTTTGACCAATGCAGAGAGGAAAGGAAACATTGTGAAACTGCAAATTTCACTCCAAGAGAGCTGGCGTGCTTTTGAGAACACATTTAATGGTTTGCAGAGAGTTTTATTTTGTGTATTTGATCCCCTCCTGTGTGTGACATTACCCTGTGTGGTGTGCTGGCTTGATTTCTGCCCTGAGAATGCACGCAAAGAGAAACCGGGAGGTAAGTACTGCAAGTGCTAAGGTCCTGCGATCTCTGCGCTCTGTGTTTCCTCCTCTAATTTCGAGAAGCTCTGACTAATGGTGCAACACTGGGGAGGTTAACTAGTCAGGACTGAAAGGTTAACTCCCCATGTGTTTCCCTGACAGTGATTCATGGACCATGATGTGTGTGGGTTTTACAGTCAGTTTTTCCAGTTTGAGCACATGCACAGTATAGTATGTTCTGTATCATCTAAGCTTACATATGTGAAAGAAAGCATTCATTGCAGCCACTTTTACTGCATGTTGCATCACACAGGCGTGTAGGGTAAGTGCTCTGGCCTAAACCCATTATGTAATAGTATTGGACTTCCACTGTGGACACACCCTACCTGTCTGTGTGAGTGTGGAGTGATGAGTAACAGGTAGTTTCAGGCCTCTTCACCATGTTTGCTTTTTTACCCTCAAGCTTGATGAGGTACCCAAACAAAAACAACAAACAGGGATACGTTATGATCGGAAAAGTGGAGATTTGTAAGAGGATTTGCTTAAGCTTTGTTTTGATAGCAAGAGGAACCACTTCACTGGTGTTGATGGAAAGTGCAGTGAAGTTTTTCAGGCGATTACATAGGATTACCATATTTTAATCACTGAAAACAAGGGCACTCACAATGAGATATTCAAATGATACTCACAGAAACAAATTCAGATAAGCTTCTCAGAGGTGACTCAAAATGTTTTATTATGACCTGTCTCAAAAATTACAAATGAAATAGGCTTATGATAGAAGTAATGTTTCTTCTGTATTAGAGAAATAAATAAATAAATAATAACTAAAAAACCTCTGCTATAGTAGCAATCCAACTTTAACAAAAATAGCTCTCACGAACTTACAAAAACGAACTAACAGAAATTATCTTGATTTTAAGTTTTCCTCTCCATTCTAATGGCAAACAAAGCACAATGAAAACCAGGACATTTTCATCACTTTATAAAGAACAACAACCAGGACGACTAGGACAGGATGTGAAAACAGGACATGTCCTGGGAAAATAGGACGCTTGGTCACCCTGTGTTACAACTTTAAATAAACTTTTGCAATCCTCTGTCAGTGAAAATCTCAAGCCTCAACAGTTCAGTGTAAACATTACTCCACCTTTTACTTCATCACCAAGAGAAAATTCAAATTCTGTATCAGGCTGCAGGTGAGGGATGAGCTAATGTTCAGGCTCCCAGCCAAGTTCCTCTGAGTCAATATGATGAGATAACTGGAGTCTGCATGTTAGGCAGTTTTGCTCTTGGTAACTAGCCAGAAAACATGACTCTACCCAGATTTACAGTTCTGGAAAAAATGAAGAGACCACAGCAAAATAATCAGTTTTTCAGATTTTGCTATTTATAGGCATGTTTTTGAGTAAAATGAACATTTTTTATTCTATAAACTACTGACAACATAACTCCCAAATTCCAAATAAAAATATTGTCATTTAGGACATTTATTTGCAAAAAATGAAGAATGATTAAAATACGAATAAGGGACCAGTGTTTTCATACCTCAGATAATGCAGAAAATGAGAGATCATTGTGATTTTTAAGCAGCACATTACTTATGTTTTAGCGCGGAAAATAAATATTTGGTAGAAAAACATGGCTGTTAGGTGACTTTATGCCATTCCTGCTGCAAGAATTCAAGCAGTTCAGGTTTGTTTGATATCTTGTGACCATCCACCTTCCTCTTGATCACAAACCAGAGGTTTACAATGGGGTTCAAGGTACAGTGCAGTACAGTGATTACCACAGCAGGTTTACAGGTTTACATTTTCTCCTAAATTAAGATGTGGTTCAGGTGATCACCTCATCAGTACCTTATTAGAAACAGGTGTGCTTGTGTTGGAATTCAATAGACACCAGAATAAAATGGCTGTTATTTATGTAAAGATGCTGATTTCTGACACAATGCAGGGGTCTCTTAATTTTTTCCAGAGTTGTATTGTGTGTGAAAGAAAGCACCGAGTCGTAATCATGTCTTGAATGAATGGAAACGTGACATATTATTCAATTAACAATTTGAGGTCAAATAGACAGCAAGAAACACCAAAAGGCGTACATGTAGGCTATTGCGATGATATTAATTCCAAACATTGGATGTAAAATGGTATCGCGGCATCACGCTAATAAAATGATGGTAATAAGAGGCAATATTAACTGAACTTATTCCATTAAATTTAGAAAAGACGTGAAGCGGATCTTGATTGGCTGCCTCAAAAGTCTGCTCACTTCTGATTGGTCTGTTAGCTGCTGCCGAGTTGTCATTCAGCAGCAGGTCCTCCTCACACACATCTGTAGCAGAGACTCTCCCCTAGTCTGCCACTGACGAAGCACCGGGACGGGAGAGCTGTGAGATAGATTCGCCTCATACTTTTCAACGGATATACTCAGAAACGAAACAGTTTTTTAATTGTTTTGAGCGGCTTTTTCGGACTTGCGTAAGTAAGAGAAGTCGAGTCTGTCCGTTTTCCGTGAACAAGGAAACATTTGGTGGTGTTGGAAAGACTGTTGACGCTCGAGGAAAGTTTAAACCCCTGAGATATACTGTCCGGGGAAAGGTGAAGCGCGTGCAACTTTAACTTTAATGACCTCTCCGTTTGTTAACGAGGTGATTTTGGTTTAAACAGTTTTAGAAATTTGTGAGCTCGACCTACTGTAGGCTATGTTACCTGTCCCAAACTGAGCACCGTATATCAGCATGTCTTTCAAGCGCTGCTGTGCTGTGTAACCAGTTCGTCCAGCTCAGCGGGAGTTTCGGCCGCTGCTTGCTCTCAGGTAAACCGCCAACAAGGTTTACCCCTTTTTCCGAAGCACCCCGTTTGAAGCCGCTTCAACATAATGGCTGGTTTGATCAATGTCCACATGAAAACCCTGGAGGACCTGACGCTGGACTCCGGCTACGGGGCGGGGGACTCGTGCAAATCCCTCAGCCTGTCCTCATCCAAGTCTAACTCCCAGGCCTTCATGACGGCCCCTCACCGGGGCAACTGGTGGTACTACTCCGGCTCCATGAACAGCAGAAACAACAGCTGGGATACGGTCAACACTGTTCTCCCCGAGGACCCTGAAGACATCTTCTCCAAGTGCCCCCGCTTACCTGAGCTGGAAGAGTTCCCGTGGACCGAAGATGAGGTGGCAAAGATACTGCGCAAAGTGGCCGAGAGTGGGAGCATGAAAGGGGGGCTCACACCTGTGTTCTCCCCGGAGGCTGTGAAGCGGCTATCGGCTCTCCTCCGCCGCGCTCTGATCCGCATCTCCAGAGAGGCGCAGCGTCTCAGCGTCATGCACTGCCGCTGCACGCGCTTTGAGGTGCAGAGCGCCATGAGGCTGGTGCTCAGCTGGGCTCTGGCCGACCACTGTGTCTCTGCAACGGTCAAGGCGATCTCCATGTACAGTATGAGCGCAGGGGAGCTGCTCAGGAAGGGCAAGTCCGCCCGCTGCGGCCTGTCCTTCTCCGTGGGTCGCTTCTTCCGCTGGATGGTGGACACCCGCATCTCCGTGCGCATCCAGGAGTATGCAGCGATATGCATGACCGCATGCATGGAGGCTCTGGCAGAGGAGATAGGAGCTCGGGTGCTGATGGCCGAGAGGGGTCATTCGGGGCCGGATTCAGGGTCAACAAGTGCCCAAGTGAGTGCAGAGGCCCTGGAGGGGGTGGTGAACAATGATGCGGAGCTGTGGGGAGTTCTGCAGCACTATGAACACCTGATCTGCGGGAAGAACGCCAATGGTAAATATAGTTCAAGAACTTTTGTTTGAATGGTTGTGTGCTGGGACGGGACAGTGGTGTAGTGGTTAGCACTGTCACCTCACAGCAAGAAGGTCTTGGGTTCGAATCCGGCTCAGGGTGTTTCTGTGTGAAGTTTGCATGTTCTCCCTGTATCTGTGTGTTTACTCCGGGTACTCCGGTTTCCTCCCACATGCCTAAGTGGGGTTAGGTTTATTGGCCACTTCCAAATTGCCCATCCGTGTGAATGTGAATGTGGATGGTTGTTCATCTGTATATGTCAGCCCTGCGAAGAACTGGTGATTTGTCCAGGGTGTCCCCTGCCTTCGCCCGAAGATGCTGGGATAGGGTCCAGCCCCCCCTGCGACCCCGGGAACAGGAATAAACGGTAGAAAATGGATGGTTGTGTGCTGGTAGATGCAAAACTTCATGTCAAACTTTTTCTGTGTCGCTCTGTCTCCATCCAGAGTGTGGGTCACCACCGCTTTCCACTGCCTCACTTGGTGGAAAAGGTGAAATATGTCCTGCTGCCCCATACAATAGCAGCCCTTTGTGCATGAGCATTTGATGGATTCAACGCTAATTTGACCTGTCAGAGTAGGCAAAACCAGTGCAGCAAAACTGTAGAACAAAGGAAGTACTTTACTTTTCTCAGACTGAGGTCACATAAGGAGAAATGACAGCTGGTACACCATACTCAATTGCCATATTTATCTCAAAGCACTTGAGTCATGATGGTTAGTTGTTAGTTTGCACCCACACACGTCAGTCTTGCTCTGCTTTTGTGAGTTGGGGGTGTGTTAAGCCTTTAGAGCACACAGGCAGGGGGCTTGTCTGTTGACACAGCTCTCTGTTTGTGCTGACTTCACCTCTCATCCTCCTGCTGTGTTGGCTGCACTCCTCTGAAATCTTCCCCTCCATTTATTTCCCTCATCCTCTCTCAACTCTCCTCCTCTAGGTCCAATCCCTCTCACCCACAACCGTATCTATAGAAACTCTTCCTCCTTACTCTTTTAGCTCCAGCTGTGCGTCCTGCACCCTGCATGTTTGTTTCCTCCACCCTCACATCTCTCCTCAATCAACTCTCTTTCTTTTTCCTCTCACACCCCAGTAGACTCGCAGCACTCATTCCAAGGCTGTTTTGGCAGCCCAGTGTTGGCTTGATTCATGGGCTTGTGTCGGGACAATGTAACCAGCCTTTGTTTGTGGCCCACTACCAGCTCCCTGGAGCAGAGCTTTTAACTACAGGACAATAGCCTTTTGTAGTGTGATTGTGCGGCTTAGCCCAATGCAGAGAGAGTGAAAACAAATGCTGAGGGAGCTGGGCTCACACGTCCACGTTCATATACTATATAAAGAAGAGACAGAGAGAAAATAAACTCAGGTAGCTGTTATTAAAGGCTTGAATATTACAACTCATCTGAACTGAAGACACTGTCATGCATGAGTACCTCTGCATGTAAAGACAAGGTAGAGTAAATGCTAAAACACTGTGAACTTAGATCAGTAATAATAATAATAACTTTATTTATATCGCAATTTTAAAAACAAGAGTTTACAAAGTGCTGGAAAACAAAGAAATAAAAATAACAGAACAACAACAAGAGAACACTTAGGGGGGATAGGGCCTTAACACGACTAAAACTCAGACTACCTGTCCAAAAGAAATAAAATAAAATGAATTAAAAATTGGTGGAAGAGAGAAAAGGTTTGATGAGTGTCACATGAGCTAAGACGTTAATAAAACAAAGACAATTAAACAAAGACATCATAAGAACCTGAGATTCAACACAGGAACCCAACCATAAAAACCTGAGACCAAGGGGACTATTCTAAAACATGGATAGAGAGTAAAAGGTTTTAAAGAAGACAAACTCACATTTGATCAGCGAATGCATGCAGACTCTTATTCACTGACTTGTTGCATTTCATATTCAAAGTGTTAAAAAGACAGAGAGAAGTGTATCAGGGAGCTCTTTTACTGCAAAAGAAGTTAAAGAGCAGCTTTTGTTCCAGCATTTAACCAGATGTCTTTGAGTTGGGTTTTTAGACCGGACTATTTTGGTGATTTAGTCATTGGTTTTGAGAAAGACCAGCATGTGTAATAACAACAGACCATTATTCTGACCACCCTAGCTTTTTATAGGCCCAAGACGGGGCTGTGTAAGCCACATACCCCTCTACCACCTTACCACCTGACACCCCACACCCTAAACCCAACTTTCTACACCCACCCTCAATTCTGCAAAAGTCCCCCGGCCACCAAAACCACCAGTGCATGGAGAGGCAAAGATCAACTTCCCCCCCTCAGAACCAGAGGGTAGACTACTGATCATATGGAAGGGGAGAGTCTGATAAATCTCTCTCCCTCCCTCTCTCTTGATTCCTCTTCTTCTCTCTGACTCTTTCTCTTTCTCAGGGGCTGGCCCACATCTGGAACTCTTTAAGTCAGAAATGACTTCTACGGCTCCAATAACAATTCTGAAAAACTCCCTCCCTCCGCTCCTCTCCTCCTGCCCTCTCTCACTCACTCACTCTTGGCTCTCCCCCTTTTTTACTTTGCCATTGCTTTCACGTCCACTTGGTCTTTATCTGTTTATTTCTTCTGGTCTACAGGGAATGCATTAGAGGAACTTGGTTGTGATGTGCCAGGATCTTATTCATTACTCATGCGCACGCCTGCGTGAGCACACTCCCGCACACACAAGCACACATACGCATGGTCTCAAACCTCTTTAGTCTGCTTTGCATGTGTTCAAATGGATCCACAGCGCTGGTTGAACTCACTGCACAGTGCCTCCATACAGAGGAATCCATTTGTCATTCATTTCTGCTAACAAGGAAATAGCAGGGGCAAGCTCTTCCTGGTATAATTGTTGTTGATAGTACAGTGGGGTATTTTAAAGTGCAGAGTAGTAGCTACACTAATGGGCAGTGGAAGTGGCTTTGAAATCATTGATCTTTATGACTGGCTGGCATGCAGATATCCGTTAAACTCTGGACTAGCTGGCTGGGGAGTTTTCAAAATGCAATTTCATTTGAGCTTTTGCCGTTTTCTTGGACTCATTTATGCATACAACAAGCTTATAATGCATTACACCTAATAGTATATTACATTACTCAACCCATTGGAAGTCAGTGACTGTAAATGCCCAGTTTTATGACCCGAATCTGTAATAATTTTAACAAGGGGCTGCCTGAAAGAGAGCACTCATGCAAGAGAGCAAGATTTACCTGGAAAAACAAACTTTGATTTGGTTCAGCACTATCAAAAAAAAGTTGAGTTCCTCTGCTGCAACCCTCTGAAGGTTGTAAAAAAGCCAGTGAGTAATGGGTTTACAGTGCACACAGAGAGCAGGGCATATGATTTGCTGCTCAGTATTTCCCTAAATATGTATTTAGCCTAAAAAGAGGCGTGGGAACAGTGGGCAGCAAGATGCAGGGAGAGCAGCCCAGCACTGTGGTCACACAGATGGGGAAACCAGCACTCTCAAAATACTCTCCCTGTTCCTCAAATCTGGGGCAGGATAAAGTGCAGTTTTGGTAAACAGCAGGAGTTTAATATTTTGGTAAACAGACTGAGTTCATTCTTGCATGCTCCTGTTGTTCCCTGGCAAGGACAGCAAGCCTTTATTTGGCCTGAATTGACTGTAGAGATGAATTTACGAGGTCAGGCCTGTGAACCCTGTCAGCAGGTCAGTGTGTGCATAGAGTTAAGATCATAAGTCATATAGCTTTAGTGGATAATAAGGGTTAATCCCTCACATAACACTACAACTCATGTATTTGTGTGAGAGGGGTTTTTGCAGGTCCATAGAAACACACACACACGCACACACTGGTGGCTCATGTCACTGTTTGCACTAGCTTTTTGTGTAGTCCCAGCTGCAAAAACACAAAGCCATTAGAGTGCACATGTGTTTCACTGTGCTCATCTGTGGGTGCTTACATGGACTTGTGTGTGGATGTGGACTATTTCAGGGAAAGAAGAAACATGAGTAATTTTTACAGATATGACACCACAGATGACTTGTCGGGCTATTACAAAACCCTGCGTTATTCATCAGGAACCCACCATGGGTTTCAGATCCTCCTGACGTTGGTCATTCAGTTTGTGACAATTAAAGGACCATGATCAAACTGAGCCATCTGAAAGATTGTGTTCTCTCCTCTCCCTTCTTTCAACCTTCAGTCATTATTTTGATCTTAAGCCACACTGACACATAACAGCAGCATGACTCATGCTTCTCATCAGAGTTTACAGTAAATCACTGATATGGAGGGAGCAAAGAGAGATGGGGATAACAGATACTCTTGGGAAAAGGGCAATGGCCATAAATAGGAATACAGAAACAGCAACTTCAGACTTGAAAGCGTTCATCCTGACTTATTTTCAGCACCGTGCATTAAGCTCCTTTAACTTATTGAAATCACAAAATATTCAGCCAGCGTGTCACATGCATTACCACACAGTCCTAGCAGTTGAGTATTGCAGCCCCAGTTGCTAATGGGGCAAGCAGAAAGACCGGCTGGAATCTTGGACCAGATAGCTCAGTGCATTGCCTTAGTGCAATGGTAACGTTAGAATGGAACCACTGTGCATCCCATTATGCACAGTCTTTGGCTCGGAGACAGAATGCCACATGCACTTGTGTTGGAGTCTGGCTTGGCTGTTGAAGTACTGAAATATCCCTGGTACGTGGTGAGGACCAGAAGTCAGACTCAGTGGTAATGGTATGTGAGTGGTAAAGTGTGAGCAACTTAAAGGGATATTCCAGATATTAAATTTAAGTAAGGGTCAAACACACCGTAACACCGAGTTAGACACCCCCTCAAGAGATGAATGTTGTCGACTGCTTGCTTCTCTAGTTATACCAACTTTAGTAATGACCGCACGATAGCAATACGCAGTGTTCTACGTCTCCACGCACAAACAAGTCGATCACTGAGTGCAGCAGAAACCTTATGATTATTACTTTATGGAAATGCAATCAGACAGAGACATTAAGGCAGAAGAATGACCACATACAAGAAACACAAGAACTCTGATTGCATTTCCATGAACCAATGATCATAAATGTTCTTCCTTGAGCTGCGAAGCTCCGCTGCACCACAAACAAGCGCCTGCTGGAGGAGAGTGGGTGAGTTGTTTTTTATCTCTTTGCTAAAGAAACCAGGAAAAGCTAAAAAGATTTTTGATGGCTAATACTATGGTTGGTACTCTATATGTACTGTTGATGAAGTTAGGTGCTTATCTGAGCATTATTTGTGGCTATAGAGTGGCCTTTTGGTTGAGGTCTGCGTGTGGAGACGCAGACCGCTGTGTATTGCTATCGTAAGTTCGTCGTAAGAACTAGAGAAGCAATCAGTTGGAAACATTCATCTGACCATAACTTACATTTACACTGGAATATCCCTTTAAAATGTATACAAAAAATTATGTTAGTTGTTATGTCTTCTAAAGTAAAATTTAGAGTTAAAAAAGTTGGCTGGACAGCTTGACAAGCAGCCTCTGAAACCAAAAAGCCCACTTTTGTCCTGAGGATCAGTGACAGAAAATAACACACCAGGCAGGAATTGTTATGCCTCTTTGGATCAAATTAGCAATAGTTGCTACAAGTTTGAAAACCCTTATTGTCTGTCCAGCTTGCCAATCAAGTCAGTAGCTACAGAAACTTGAGTTAATATGAAAATACAGTATATCTTCTTTTCTTCTACATGCTGCCAGATAATTTGACCCTGTGTTACCTTAACGTAAGATCATATTTCAAATTGTGCCAAAGTGGCAAGTACAAGCTCTAAATTGGGTTTGTCAAAGTTAAATGACCGAATTCTGTAAATATACCTCATGAATCAAATAAAAACAACCAGACACCTTTACATTTTCTACAGTATTATTCTTTACTCTTTCAAGCAGTGTCATGCTGAAGAGGAAATAAAACTGTTTCACAATGTGAAGAAGTGCCTGCATAATATGCTCCTCTGTCAGAGAACAGGAATCTTTGTCTCCCACACAAGACACAAACTCAATGCAGGCAGTCACTGCAAGAGATCTGTTATTGCTACTAAGAGACAGTCCACATACATCATAGTTACACCACCCTCTCACTCAGTTATCTGTCATACAGATATTTTCATTGAGTGTTCATTGCTTGTTGTTGTTTACAAAGACAAACAGTAGTCTATTAATTCTTTTGAATTAGTTGTTTCTGCTGTGATATAAATCTATCTCACTTTTAAACATTAGTGGAGGTCTCAGAAAGAGTAACCTATTTGTCTTTGTCGCCACCAAACCCCACTAGAGTTTGTTTTTGTGCTTTTTACCACTCAAAAATCAATGCCAACCATCACACTTCTAATAGCCCATAGGCATTAGCTGGCATGGCATCACTTTCTCTCTATGTGTGCTCCAGCAAAAGTGAAGCCATTTACCGTAGTCGATACAGAACCAATCTGAGGGCGATTTGGTTGTAATATTTAATTACACACTTAAAAGATCAGATGGGCAGACTGAGGGGAGGAAGAGGAGGAGGAGGAGGAAGGGAGTGAGAGCGTGAGGGAGGTGGGGGAGCCGGGGAGTGTAGTTTAAGTGGAAACACATTTGCCTTGCTAAGGATTGGATATAATAACCCCTCGCTGTGCTCTCTGCTGAAATCTGTTGGAGTCATACAGACTTGGCTGAATATAGCCAAGAAGAGATAGAGGGAGAGATGAAGCTTCAATCCCACATATCCTCTCTGATTGGGATCTATATAGACTGGTTGTGCCAAATCTGTGCAGCCAAGGAAGAGTTTGCGTGTGTGCAGGATTGCTCCTGTGTCGGATGTATGTGTGCCAAAGGAGGGGCTGTGATCACTGAAAAAAAAAAGACACAGTCTGTCTCAGCAAAGCCAGGAAGGAGATGTGCCCTCTTACTTTTTTACTTTAAAGTCTTACCTGTTGTTTCTGTCAACAAGTAGAATGAGAGGGCTTTTTGTGATGCTCTCAGTGACGTCTTTGTCCAGAGTCAGAGCAGCACTGAGAGGCAAAGATCCGATACATGGGCTGGAAAAGCAAACACACTTGTCTGCAGACACTGATGAATGCAAGACTCTCTCTCTCTCTCTCTCTCTCTCTCTCTCAATCCACCTCCTCTGGCCCCCGTTCAGGTTTCATGCTTTTACACCTAGAAAATATTCCTTTTAAACGTGTGAGCTGCCCATGTGACATTTAAAAACACATCAATCTGTCAAATCCAGATAAAGACATGATGGATGACTAGCTCACTGTGCCCACAATCAGCAGCTAACTGAAAGTACAAAAAAAAATCCAAACTACATAGGTAGAAAACACCTCCATGCACAAATCATACACACAAACAAACACACACTCAAGATAGTAAAGAGAAAAACCAAACAGGAGGAGATGCTTTTCCATCTGACTTGCATGACTACTAAAGCTGTGTATATGCTGAGGGTGGAGTAAGCAAACATTTCACTAGTGGACAAAGAAGCTCTGTGACAACCTCCATTTCAGCTTCTTTCCTGTTGAGTATTGTCCAGTTTAGTTTTTTTTTTACAGCAGAAAGCCTCTTTCATTAGAATTCATCAGCTGGAATGAACGCAATACTAACACTCTGAAATAAAAGCCCATCTTTTACAGGTTGAGAAATAGTTCACAGCTTGCATGATGATGTTTGGAAACAGTTTCTGCAACACCCCAAAGAGTAAGCCAATTTTCCAAAGGGAGGAATTAGAGAGAGAGAGAGAGAAAGGAGGAACATGAAGGAGAATGGAAAAGTTACATCAGCTTTTATGACCAGGTTGTCTGACGCTGACTGTGCCAGGTTCATTAGAAAGAGAGACGATCATGACAGGTCAAGTGAGGTGTGTATGTTTGTGTGTGTGGGGGTGTTTATGTGTGGTATTTTGCCCTACAGTGGAAAGTAGGCCACAGTAGCCCTTTGACCCTTCTCATGCATGTTTTTTGCTTTTGATGTCATGCCGTCTCACCCATCTTGGGTAATCCCCTCTGACACTGATGATATCTGCACAAAGAGACTGTTTATGTGTCTGCCTGTCTTTGTTTTCATTTTTCCTATGAGTGATTTACTGAGAGCTGACTATGTGACTTTTAACACAAGCATTCAATCACTGAAGGTTAACTTGTCCTGTTTAGAGAACTCAAAGTGATGTATCCCAGAGACAGGAATTAATGCAGTGTTTCAATAAGTTGAGAAATGTTCATTTTTCTCCCTTGCAGGTCGTGCCTCTTTTAGCAGTCCTGTCTCTCCCTGTCAGGCACTGGAATGTGTTTGTTCATGTGCCGACCTACTTTACATGTTTGTCAACAACAACAAGGCTCAGCGGCTCGTTTGAATTCCTGGTTGCCCTCATCAGAGGATACACCACCCCTCTCCCATGCTGACTTGACAGATAAATCACAGTGGCTTTTAGTCATTTAAAGCCTCTCTAGGTTTGGAAATGTTCCTGCTGTTATGTTTTATCAACCCTGATCATCTATTTTCCAACCCCCAAACTCCAAACAAGGCTCACTCAACTAGTTTTTGACTTTCCTTGTTATTAGGCCTTTTTTACTTTTTTTAGTCCCAACCCGCACAGATTACAATCTCTATTCTTGGCCTTACTGTTTGGCAGGGATGGTTGATATGGGTTAAAAAATCAATCATGATAAGATTTGCCATTCTGGGGATAGTGATGAAAGTCTTGATAAAGAACATTATAATTTCAATCTATATTTTTGACTCATTTTGTCAATAATAACAAACTTAACCACAAGTTTAAGTGGTAGGTTATAGAGAGAACTAATGACGTCACACAAGTCTCAAATGTGAAAACAGTTTTAACATTTGTTGAAAATTCTTATTGCACAGAGTGAACAGCAGCAGATCCACTGTCCACTGTCAGGCATACCTGATTGCTCTCATCTAAACACCAATCTTCATTCAGTAATCATTCAGTAACGAGCTGCTCAGAAACGTCTTCTTCATTACCTTCAGCCATGTTCGTTTGTTATTCTGCTCTGTGTGGGCTATGGCTAACTTGCATTTATCATATTTATCATGGGATGGCAAAAATCTATTATGGAGGATTTTTCTGACGATATATCCTGAACGATAATTTATCGCCCACCTCTACTGTTTGGTCCATTCATCTGTTCTCCTTCCTGTGCCTTACCTGCTGCACAGCTCACTCCCTGCAGCAAACCATGGTCTGCTCTTCAATTTTCATTTTCCAAAACATCACAGAAACTTTTTTTTTCTGTCTGCAGCCAAGCAGTTTCATCTTCTGTAAACATCACCTGTTGGGTCAAGGTCATTGAGATCAACCATGATGATTAAAAAAACCGCAGCCGCACACCCTGCACATTTAGACCAAAACCCCGTACAGTAAGGCTTCCTGGAATTCCCTCATGGTTAGTGGAGGGAAGCAGCTCTTTAGACTGAGGGGCCATATGTGGAACACATGTGTGCACAGGAAAACAAACTCTGTCAAGACAGGACACCCTTTGCCATGGCTTCAAGTCTCTTTATGTTGATACAATCTGCTCAGTACATCCACCCCTTCTGGACTTCTTATTGGAACCAAAATAAACAGTTCTGACAAAAAGTAGATGCCTATTACCAAGGAAAGTCGACAATATGTGGTGTGATAGGGTGTGTGACTCCCTACCACACTCTGTGATTTGAGAGTAAGGTGTTCATCAACATTTAAACAGGTTTGGATAATATGTAGGTGACCCAAACGAAGCTGGAACAGTCCTCAGCAGGTCGGCCTGTATTTCCGCAGCAGACCTAAGAGGCTCTTTATTACACGTAATTACCGTGTCTATGTGTTTCCCCTTAAATCGCTGAGGAGTATGTTTGGGTTTGAGTCTATGTTATGTTGTGATTGAGTGGCAAGGAAAACTGGTACAGCTTGACTGCCCACGCTGCTGCGAGACGAAAACTCTCTCCTGGCACTTTGTTGGTGTTTCTGTGAGTCTGTACAGGATGTGTCTCTTTGGGTTTGTTCCCACTAATCTGGGTTACATCTGTCAATAACCGTGTGCATGTGTGGGCTCATGTCCTTGTGAGAATGGGTTGAACTTTTCAGCGTTTCTGTGAATCGGCACAGTCTTTTTTTTAGCTCCATCTGATGTTTTTCTCTCCGTCTCTGAGTCTATCTCTGTTGCGTCCGCCATCTGTGTGCCACTGCAGGGTCACAGACAGTGCTGGACATGATGCTCTCCAGTAACGGTGGCCAAGTTTCCTCTCAAACTCAGAGATAATCTGCCTATTGAGCATTAGAGGGCTGGAGGGAGATGATAGAATGGGGAACAGGGAAGGGTATGTGATGGAAATTCACCCCAATGAAAGGACGCTTTGTTTAAGGGAGTTTGGAAGAATGAATTGTTTTGGGTTGAATTCGTCTCAAACAGCTGGATCCTTGTGAAGAAGAGACTTTTTTTTTTTATTTAAAGGTGGGGTACACACATGGGAAAGTCTGCTAGTACACCATGTGTCCTTCAGGGTGAACTGGACCGTAAGAATCTTGTGTGACTTGGTGTTGGCAGTGTGTCTCCTTCTTAGCAGAGAAGTGGAGGTTGCAGGAAGTCAGTCAGACAGCAGTTAAACAGACCAACAGAACACCCCTCAATGCTTCCCCCTCTTCCTCACCTCAAGGAACAACACGCAGACAGAAGTCTGAAATGGCTACAAAGCTACCATGATCATCAACTCTTCAATCATGGCTGTTTAAACCTATGTAAGCCTGGTGGGATTATTAAACATGTTAGGATTAGACTTTTGTTCCACCCTCATGGCCTGTAGACGCGAGTGTGACTAATATTGTCTCTCCTGAACAAGCATTCTTATTATGATCCATGTGTTTCACATTAGGTAACAGTCCATACAGTGCACACACTGTAAGTGTCTGCATGTCAGTGGCCTGGCTTTATAGCACTTTTGTTAAAAGGGATTGAATAAGCACTCGCTCAGAGTTAGATGTATGATGTACGACCCGACTGAACTTTCACTCTGACAGCAGGTAAGACGGAGGAAGTGGCAGAGCTGGAAAGGTCAATACACCTTTCTTCCATTGAGGTAGCCTGGCATCACTCCTATGCTTTGTCTTTATGTGAAAGTCTTTCATTGGCAGATGACGACTTAAAGGGTACCGGTGTAGATTTAAGTTATAGTCAACACCGAGTTAGATAACCCCCCGAGAGATGAATGTTGCAGACTGCTTGTTTCTGTAGTTATCAACTTTAGTAAAGACTGCAGGATAGCAATACACAGTGGTCTGCAGCGCCACATGCAAGCCTCAACCAAAAAGGCCACTCTATAGCCACAAATAATGCTCAGAACAGCACCTAACTTCATCAAAATATAGGGTCCCAGCCATAGAACTAGCCACCAAACATCTTTATAGCTTTGCCTGGTTTCTTTAGCAAAGAGACTAAATACAACTCACTCACTCTCCTCCAGCAGCCGCTTGTTTGTGGGGGAGCCCTGACGAGGCGATCACCGAGTGCCACAGAGTTTCGCAGCTCAAGAAAGAACATTTATGATCATTACTTAATGGAAATGCAATCAGACTGAGACACTAAGGCAGAAGAACTACCATGTCTACAGTGCAAAATGATTATCAAGATGATTATTACTTCAAAGAAATGATCTGCTGCACTCAGTGATCGGCTCGTCAGGGCTCCCCCCACAAACAAATGGCTATAGTGGCTTTTTGGTTGAGGTTTGTGCATTAAGATGTAGACCACTGTGTATTGCTATCGTACGGTTGTGACAAAAGTTGGTATAACTAGAGAGGTAAGCAGTTGGCAACATGCATCTCTCGAGGGGGTTTCTAACTCAGTGTTACGTTTTGTTTGACCATAACTTAAATTTGAGCCGGAATATCCCTTTAAGGAGCCTTTCAACAGTCCAGTCAGGTGCTAGAAAGGGGCGTGTGTCCGCATAGTGGGGTGGAGGGGGTCAGATGTGTCAGGAGTTGAAAGCAAAGGAGGGGGCAGGGAGCCGGCCTGAGGGGTCAGGGTCTCAAAAATTATAACAGCCACCCAGTCAGTCAGCTGAGTGCGAACAAACTAGAGTGTGAGCTGCTTTGAAACGTTCAGGTGGTTTCATGGAGATATTTTCCAAAGGTTGTATTTGGTTTGTTTTTGATGGAGGAGCTACTGACATGCCAAAACCACGGGCAATCTGATTTCAGGGACACAGACAAGCGTGAACCACAGCTGAGAGATGGAAGCCCACATGAGAAAGCACAAGCAGGAGATGTCTTGCTCTGTCTCTGTGACTCTGATAACATTGTGGGTCTCTACCGGTGTCTGAATAGACCGAGATAAGACAGACACAAAACAGCACTTGTAAGCATACAAGGAAAATCAAGAGTCACTTGAGACAGAGACACAGACTGATAAGTCTCAAACAAGCAGACAGAGATGGAAAGGAATTTACACCATCAGCATGCAATGAGCTTTCCCTGGATGCAGGTGTGACAGATAGCTTTTTGGTGCTCATTAGGATGTCTGTGTGATAACCTCTGGGCGTCAGAGGAAGAAAAGATGAGGACAACTCCTGACACTTTTCAGGTCTTGATGAATGGGTATCATCTCCAGTTCCCTGCTGGGAGAAACAAGCTTTAGTTGAGCCCCCTCTAGTCTTGTCCTGACCCCGTGGAGCCCTCCCATGACCTCAATCTTTCTCTCTCCTCCCTTGCCTCCTTCTCTCCTTTCCTTCATTCTTAGTTCCTGTTGTCTTTTATGTGTTCTCCCTGATTTCCATGCATGAGTCTTGAAATGCCATCATCCTGACCTGCAGAGAATGGAGTCAGAAAAAAAGTGACTGAATTGGAGAACACTTTCAATTGAATGGATGCTTAGGAAATTGAAATTGATGTGTTTTAAAACTGTTGACTATGTGCCCTCATAGAGGATGAAAGTATATCAAAGGAATCTCCTTGACTCTATGCCAGGAGATCAAGAGATGTTGCCCAGCTGAGTGAAACACAAAGAGGATGGCTGACAGAAAAGAGGGACAGTGACAAGCTTAGAGGAAAAAGAAAAATCACAGACCAAGATGAACCTGCCCAGTGCTTCTTGGCTGGAGTGCACTTCTGCACTGAAGGCTGTAATTACCTTCTGACCAACTTGTGCTGGTAGCTGGAGAGCAGTTAGGTCAGCTTTTAGCTGGCTTGCACAATGAGGTCAAGTACTATTCATGCCCTGGATTGTGCATATCTACAGGCCACTCTAAATCAGTCCCTCACTCACTTACTCTCTGTTTGGACTAACTTTGTTGTGCACGTCTGAAATTCTAATTAATGAAAAGCTCACCTCCCTTCTGTCCTGCTTCCTCCAGCTTTCTCTTCCCTTCATTCCCTTCTCCTCCTGCCTCTCTGTCTCTGTGCGTCCTGCCAGTTCTCTTTTTGCAGAGGGTCAGCCAGAGACTTTCTGCAAAGAGACACTGTTGGAGTCAGACTCCTGGGAACCTTAAAAACGGCTGGGGAAGGCATCAATATTCCTCTCTTACACAGACACACCAGAGGGCTAAAGCTAGGTTTTAAATATGCCCAGTAATCCCCGTGTATCAGGCTGCTTGGTTCCCTCAGGCTTTCAGCAGGGAACTTAAGAGGTCTCACTTTTTTCCCCATTTTTCTTCTTGAGATACCTTCCCTGTCCTTCTGCAGGATTTCTCTTTACACAGGGTCCCCTCAGACGATTCCCATCTCCATTATGCTGTGTTATTTTCTGCCCATGTGCTTCTCAAGAGGCAAAGGTAAGACATAGCTAATTATCACCCCACTGTTTGTGTAAGCCCCTCTGGGACTTCATGGGTTGAAATCGGAGAGTAGGAGTTGTCTCAGGGTGGGGAAACAATATGTGAGTCCATGGTTTATGGCTCTGGGTAGTCAAAAAAACCCTAACACAGAACATTTGGCAAGCAGTTGAATGAAATCTCCCTTGAGCCCCTCTTTCTCTCTGTCTGTCTAGCCATTTTGTGGTCATGGGGTTTCCCGAGCGGGCAAAGCAGGGGCTGCTGTTTATCCTGGAATGGGAAAGGAAGTAGGAGAACTTACAAGTTTGGGCAAGAATTAAAAAAAAAAGAGATGAATCGAGCTGAAAAGAGAGGTTTTTGTTGAGGGAGGAGGGGTAGCTGATGAAGATCAGCGAGGCCTGCACACATGCTTGGCCATCATCCTCACACTCCGACAGACCCTACAGTGGGAAAAGTGGAATGAAAACAGATTTGTCACTCAGTCTGCTGTTTGTACAGGAGCATGTGCAAGAATAGTCCCCCCCTCCTCCCAATCTGGTACACACAAACATTCCTCTAAAACACTCACACACCCATGCACAGCACTCCCTTTAAAGGGTCTTAACTGGGTTGGTTGTCACTGGGAAGGGTAGAGGGGTTTGTGTGTTTTTAGTGTGTGTGGTCAGGATGTGGCTAGCACCTCTCACTCATCATGATTTACTAACAATACCCATGGTGGTCAGAGGCTAACACTCAGCACATACTACAAGTCTGAGTGGGTCGAGTGTACAGTAACCTTCAAACTTTTTCCAAAGTCTACTGTTCCCTGATTTTGTTCACATTGTAACACAGTCTCCACTCAAGAACAGTGAGTTTTTCCTGATTTATTGTTTGTTTCCTGACAGACTTGGTTTAATAGTTTCTTTTTGAGGTCGTATTTGGTGATGTACAGTGCGGCCAGACCAAAATATACATGTGTGTTTGCCAGGGTGTGAGTTTCTCTGTGTTAGGAAACACTAAAAATCTGCCTGCTATTATTTTGCCATTGTGGCTTGGGAGATATCGTGGGAACTTTAGCCGAATTGAACCGAGTTGGTCTTATGAAATACTCCAAAAGAACAGAATCAACAAAGACACGCACATTTGTGAGAGTTATTTCAAATGGCCTTCATCTTCGACAAAGCCTGTACTCTAGTATGCTCTGTTTTTGTTATGTGCTCAGTTTTATCATTAAAAGACATGAGGAAGAGATGAAAACGACAACAACAGTCTTCATGGAGGTGCTATCTCTCCATGTCTGTGATCCTTGTCGTTCTTTTTCCATCTGCTTCATAGAGGACAGGGCTTTAGTGGGTGGTCCATAGAGACCGCCGGAACAGAAGCTTCTCACAACCTGAAAAACACACACAAACTAATACATAAAACACTCATCGAGAGGCCCAAACACACACACACACACTCATAGTCAGACACATTAAGTCACACCACGTACATTAAACCTGTCTGAAGGTGCAGAGATGACCGTATAAAGAAATCCAATGACACACACTGAGTCAAACATCCTGTAGCACCTGCAGAGGCAACAGCTGGGAACACACAAACAGCAACAAACACCACCGCTTAAACACATAAACGCACACACATGCTCGCCTCCCACAACTTTATTTGTGTTGCTGCCGCGCTCGGGCAGAGGAATTTGTTAGCAGGTGCCCCCCTGGAGAGAAGAGGCAGCGAACACTCTTCACACTGCATACATGAGTGGTTTGTATTGTAGTCGGCGCTAACACCGTTCACTTTGAAGGGCAAGACTGCAGCAGATGAGTCAGGGGCATGACGTGAAATGATGTAACAAAGAGCCAACTCTTGGGTTTGTTTTGACACACAACTTTGTAGCTGATAATTGGTTTACCCTGAGACTGTGTGCACACAGCCGTGAATGTGTGTATCAGACAGGGATACATTGAGATTCATACAGCATTCTTATTATGATATCTTTACCTAAATTTAGCCTGTGAGCCAAGAAAAGCACACTTTCAATCCAACACTTGTCCTAAGGTGGCCGTCCTATTTTGTCTCCTGTTTTTTTATTTGTCAATCTTTTCTTTTGCTAAGTGTGTTTTTCACTCACCAAACTGCTCACTCTTTAGAACAAACTGTTCTCTCAGGTTCAGGGCTGGTCACATAAGCACAGTCGTGTTTTCTAAGGGAAGAGGACAGAGATAGAGGAACAATAATTTAATCAGTCTGAGCAGAAAATGTCAACAGAGAGAGAGTGTGTGTCTGGGTTATCTACTGCGGTCGTTCAAACTCAAGTCTGATAGCTTTTCGATCATAATTGAAGTTTCAGATGGTTTCAGTTTTTTTTTGTTAAGATGAGGACAGTGAAGAGGAAAAAAACTTAATAAAACCGAAAAGTATCTGTGAAAGTGGGAGGCTTTGGCGTCAAGCAGTTTAGTCTTTTCTCATTTCGTTTGTGACACTCTTGAGAGGACCTGACCCCAAGCAAATGTAGGTGTCTAAGTGTGTGTGTGTGTGTTTGTGCCTTTTGTCAAAACATTACATTAACACAATGAGGCTTTGTTGAACTTTTAGTGCGGCTCATGGTGCTGACCGCCACATGAGCTCTTGTTCGCTCATGGACATAGGAGGCGGGTGACATGAGTGTGAGTGTGCGACATTGTTTGCGTAAGTGGCTGCTTTGTGAGTGTAAAGATTTTGGGTCAAAAGGTGACATAAATGTATAAGAGGATGGGCCTTTTGAAGCAGTGTGGACCCTCCCTCTGGGCTGAATGTATGTGTGAGGGTGTACAGGGTGTGTGTGTGTGTGTGTGTGTGTGAGGGTCAGGGGTTGGTTGTAAACCCCTTTAGGTGTCAGATGGGTCATACAGCCGGTTGAATTAGGGGACTGGTCTGGTTAAAGGTAGTTTACTGCCTTTTGCTAAAGAGGTGGACATTCTGACACGCCCCCAAAGGTCTCTACCACACCCAGGTCACACACATGCACGCTCACACACACACACACATATGCAGAGTATTAAAAGTTGCTATTTATGCTCAACACAGGCCACACACATGATTTGTGTTTTGGTTGCCTGATGCATACCAATTTTAAATTCTGATATCTGTGTGGTCAGACTGATTTATCAGAGTGTCGTCATGTGTGTCTGAGGTTGGGTGGTCCACTGATTTATCACCCATGTGTCGCTCTGAGACATGTTCCAATAGTGGCATTGATTTCCTGACTAATAGTACGAGATGGCGCTTATGTTATGACCGACATGCTTCCCCTCCCCGCTTCGTACCCCTCCTCTGTCTGTCACAGTGAGGACAGTTGTTCTCAACAATGGTGTGGACAACAGTGGAGCGAGGCAGATGTAAATGGACCAGCCCTGCTCATTATTGCAGACAAAAGAACAGTGGGGCCTTTTTGAACAAAGCTCCGCTCCATCCACCTTTCACTGCCGTCCAGCGCCGTTCAGCTGTGATGCCTCTGAAATAATGCAAACTCATCCTCTCTATTAGTCCTCTCTTCCTGAGTTTATGAAGGGATGGATTTAGCTTGTTGTGAGTATAGCTTTTCTCCCTTAATGCACACTTAATTGGAGCAGGACAGCAGTACAAACTTTAATGCAACAGTGCTTTACAAATAGTTTTCTGTCAGTAGAAGGAAATGTAGCCCTCATTGTTTATTGAGCTGACTGTGCATGTTCTGAATCACTTTAACATAGGCTCTGTCGACAGTAATGGAGGGTAACTCAATGCATTAACTCAAAGCAAGTTAAGATCTGAAGCACTTGAAACTGAAGTATTTCCCTCGTATGATACTTTATCGGGTACTCAACTCCCCTCATCAATTTCAGAGTGATTTTTTTCTATTCCTTCTACAGCAGCTGTTTTTAGTTTAAAGATGAAATATATTTTTACATTATATTTGTACTAGTCCTCTGAGCTTTGTCGTGATGTGCTTATAAAATAAAATGACAGAACACAGCCAATCTGAACATCCCTTTTGAGTATTTAAAGCACATTTTCATCACATTTACATTGTTACATTCTACCCTTGACAGAGTTACACAAGGACTCACAAAAAAGCATACAATACAACACACTTGTATGTCTGTGTCAGAGCAGCAATTATTGGCTGCCCAGAATGTGGTTTTCCTTTCCTGTCCTCTGGTCTTTTCCACTCTGCTGTGAAACTGCAGCCCAGCAACTTTGGGAGCAGAAGAAGTAGAGCAGTAGGAGAAAGGATAAAAAGGAGGTGATTGAAAGATTGAATGAAGCTCCAGTCCTAATCATAATCCATCCCCCCTACCCTTGTTTTTTCCCCCTTTTGACTTTCTGTGTTCTGCGTCATGATTTCGCTCTACCAAGCCCAACTTGGAATGTTAATCAGCAGAAAGCTGCTTTAGATTTACAACAGGGAATCTGGATCCAGCGCTTTGAAATGTCAAACTCTTAAGTCTCTGTATCCAAACTGCTTGTTGGGACTGTGAGAACTGAACTGCCTCAGAGTTTCTGAAAATAATCGACCTCTTTGAGCTTTTGGAAAGAAGTACCTGCCATTATCCGCGGATGTTCGGGAGAAACACTCATCATCATGCTATTGTATTCTCTAGGATTATGCTTGAATTATGAAGGGAAGAACAAAGAGCTAGAAAACATGGAGTTCAAATCTTAGATCATCACAAAGTGTGTAACCTCAGGTTGAATCCTAACTTCTGGTGTTGGAGTGTAAATCAGGCTGTGACAAATCTGCACCTTTGAGTTATTTAAAGTTTAAATGAAGGGATGTGGCACTTCCTCCAATCGCATGATGTTACCAAAAGTATTCGTCACAATTAAGCAAACATCATTGTATACTTAAGTGACTATCATTGAAGGTTGTATAAATAGAAATCGTTTTCTTTATCTCAGACATGTCATCTTTTTCACATACCTTGACATATTTGGGCAGGAACTCTGCCTTCCTCAGAAGTGTCACTTGGTGGTAGGTGTGACACATCATATCAGCTGGTGTTTCTAAGAAACTGAAGACATAATGAACATCATCCAACAAGTTGTATAAATAGATTAAGAACCCACAATACGTAATGTGTTACTAGGAAATCAGTGAACAATGGGTGTCAGTTTGGTTCAGGTGGTAAAGCAGGTACCACATGTGCAAAGGCTACAGGATTCCTGATCTCGTCATGATTTGGTGCTCGTCTTTCCTCCTTTTCCCCATGTTTCCTGTCTCCCCTTCACTGTTCTGCCAAATTAAATACAAAAAGCCCAATACACCAACACCCCCCCTTAGAAACAGTCAAAGAAATGAATGAGCAAGGTATGCTCTATTTCCTGCTGAAGGCTGATGAATGCATCCTGCCATCTGTATTTTCTAACTTCTCTGTCCTGAGTGTTTGAAATGACTTAAGAATCACAAAGTTTATAAGTTCAAGGCTTAAACTGCCTCATTTTATGGTGAAAGACTCAGCCCTTGGCTCCCACCAAATGGTCAGAGTTCATGTTTATTTGGCGGTAAAGTGGTTTTGAACATCAATCACAGCACACACTTAGACAAAGTCACATGTTTCAGGCATATGGTTCACTTAAACAAGTGAGAGATCCACAATGCCAACTGGCCGGTGAAACTTGAACATTACTGCAGTTTTTCGATCATGAAAAGAAAATGAACCTCCTGCTCAGTCTTTCCTCAACGAGCGCGTTGTCTTGCCATTCAAACTGACTGGCTCTCTGTTCTGTCTGTCTCGAGGGTCCAGCTGAGAGAAAATGAGCCGATCACACAGACAGAATGGGAGCAATTAGTGCAAATACACACCCACATACACACACTCTGACCAGTAACTCCATGGGCAGCAAGCTGGGCGAAGAAACACAGAAAACAGAATAGAGGACGACTTGTTCTTGAATAGGGAGACTTTTCCCTTTTGAAATGGGCAAATGAAACAGTCAGCTTTTGATCTGTGCTGTCTGATGGATATTTTGGCATCTGAAAATGACACAAATGAGGATTGTTCTGCAAAACAACGTCCAACACGATAGTTTGCCCTGTTTTTATTTGTCTACCTCTTGGCAGAGATTTGGATTATGTCATCTGATGAGCAAGATTGGCTCTTCTTATGAGGGGGTGGGTCTGAGGTTAGATGTTTATGTGGTTGTGCTATTGCAGTGTGTAAGTTATATCTGTCATAGTCTGTCCTCGAGACAACAAAACCAGCCCCCTCCTTATCCAGTGTAACATGTTTCTAGTGTTGGCTCCTTCACAATAAGCCAGTGAAGCCTATAAATGTAGTCATCTAATCATGGAGCTATACCGTCCCTGAGCTGCACACTAAGTGTAATGTATGGCGTCACATATGGAAAGAGAGCGTAGAGAAAGACTTAGATAGCCACAGGCACCACGACTGGTCTGGAATGTAAAATATAAAACATGATTAGAGAGAGGGAGGAGTGACGAAGGGGAGAGGGAGAGTGGGAGAAGGCTGAAGTCATGTTTAGGATTAGGGTTGGATGTGTGGGGGAGCTTATGGTGCAATTTTTCAGGGCTGTGGGAAACCAAAACTACCGTGCTTCCTACCACTCCGAGCTTGGCTGTGAGTGTTTGTTAGGGGTTGGTCTGAACCAGAATTAAAAAACCAAAAGAGGAGATTTATTTGGGATTTTGCAGGATTCAATTGATGGTTGAAGTACCAATCCTCTAACCGAAAGTGTTACTGTAAAGTCCCCTTTTTATCTGACTGAAAATATTCACCTGCATGGACTCTGTAGAAAAAAGTATGATCAAATGCTGTCCTGTTAAACTTGAATGCATTAACTTTAATTCTTGTGTGTTGCTGGGTTTTCAAAAGCAGCAGACCAGTGATACTAGGTTAATACCTTACATGCAGATTCAGGTCTAGTCTACACTGTGATGTTTAGAAGAAATACGTCTAACTAGGGCTGAGGGAGGGAGTGAAGTTTGGTGAAGTTGTCGCTGAATAAAGAATAAAAAAAAAAGGAATTCTGTTTTAAGCCAGAATCGTGCAGCCCTACTTCTAACAATAGATAGCTACTAAGGTCTGTCCTTTGTCCAGTGGGTCGGAACTACAGTCCACTCTAAATATCTCAGTTTTACACTTTTAGACCTTAGTTTTGTCCTTCTTTGTGGTTTAACTTCCTGAAAAACCTCTTAATAAGCCAAAAGCTCGATGCTCCATAACAACAAAAGTTCAGGCACATAAAACCTTGTCAGCCCTGCTCAAGACTGCTTCATATCCACCAAATATTCCTCTTTCCATCTTGCAGTGATTAATGACGTGTGTGGGTGTTCTCACTCAGTGACTCTGGGAAGCCCCCTTTCACACAGCTGATAAGGTTACTTCCTCTTTTAGCTCCAGCTGAGTGCAACCTATGACCTCTAACCCCTTGCACCCAGGGGTCACTCGAGGTGTCGGGGATATCAACCAGACCCCACGACGCCTGTCTATCAGGGTCTGTGATTTATCAGACTGTGACAGGCGTGTCTGTAACTGTGTGTGTGTGTGCACTTGCTTGTGTGCACGTGTCTGTGGTTGTGTGTGAGTAAGAAGGATTGGATTTAAATCAGACACATCTTAACTCGCTCACACACAGATGTTCCAGTGAGGGTTCAAGTACACTGTAAGCAGCTTCAGCTTATGAATGCCTCTCTTTTTGCCCCCAAATCCACATAGCGTATTATAAGAGGGTCTTTCAAAATACAAACTACCTCACTTGTCAGATGAAGGATTATTTTTAGCCCATATACTAATAGACCACTTTAGGTTCCTAAATGCCCCTCTGTCCCGCCTGAATTTTGTTTAGATAAAGAGCATGATGAGGGGCCGCCAGAGTAAGCAAACACATGGATATTTTTAACCCTCCGTGCTCAAACACTGATGGTAGTGTAGTACCGTATCATACACATACAATAAAGTCCATTCATCAATTTCTCTGTTGTTTTCAACTCTCAAGCTCGGTGGCTCCAGCAGACGACCAGTGTGTGGCACTTCATCTCTAAAAACAGGGAGAAGAATGTGGTGTGAGTGGGTGAGGCTGGATGTGTAAAAAACAGGTGTTTTAGAGCCTTTAAAGTGTGGAAAACAAGAGGCTTAGCCTGTGAAGTGAGCCATCACATCTGGCCTCTGGATTTGCACTGACATGAAATAAAGCTCAAGCATGTGTGTGTGCGTCTTTTGTCGTGTGAAAGACGCACTTATTCGGAGGAGATCAGATACTGTGAGGGTGATAAATACCCTCACCCAATAACAGTCCTGTTAAACACTGCACTATTGTCTGATGTTAACCCTCCAGCTTTCACACAGGGACAAGGGTAGAGCCTCCTGGCCCAGAATCAGAGCCTCTCTTCTGGGCAAGGGAAGTCTCTTTGAAGCGCTCTTTCCCTGAGTCTCTGATCCATCCACCCTGTCATGAATGAAGAGGCTGTTAAAGGAGGCAGGGCAGGTGTTTACTTGTGTGTGCGTGTGTGTGTATCTATGTGTGTGCATGTATGTGTGCTTGAGAATATGTGAGTGCAAGCCTGAACTTTTTCTGTCAGCTTACACAGCAGACTGCAGGAGCAAAGCTGATCACGTCCATATGTCTGTCACACACTCTCTTGGCTGTAGACGAAACAAATGAACACACCCAGACAAATCATTGTTAAGGAATGCACTTTAATCGGGGAAGAGAAATAAGAATATGGCAAAGAAACTCTCAGGGTCTGAAAAACCTGGTGTCAGCATGTTTTCTGCAGCTCTGTGAAAGGTGAACTATCAATTTCTGCTGATAATGCCAATACCAAGTGTCTGATAGAAACTTTGTCAATGAACATAGCACAGGTCGTAGTGTTTTATCTATGAAAGTGGAACAGTTTGAAGCTTTTCACAGATGGCATTCTTTTGACGATGGGAGAAAACATGAGATATTACCAGAGCAACAAAAACAAAAAGTCAAGTACGGCAGAAACAAGTTAGCAGTTCCATTAGCTCCGCTTGGATTACTTGATTTGACAGCCTTGTTATAATACGTCATTGTGCTGTGACTTATAAAATACCCTAATTGAGAGTGGCATCCTTGCTGGGAGAAGTTTCAAAAACTTTCAGCCCAACGAAAAAGTAGTTCCTGGGAGTTTCTGACCTTGTTATGGCTGTTAGTCTAACATCATTGTGAGTGATTGCCTGGCTAGGAAGAGATGTAATAGTTTTGAGAGATAGTTTCGAGGAGCTGCCACAGACTCTGCGGTAAGTTTCAGCTGTGATTTGTTGCCGGGATTCCCACATGACATTTGCAGGGTCAACCTCAGAAATGGAACCAGAATGACCACAAGAGAATGAATCCCTTGTGCCACTTGTCTCCCCCTGCCTCACCCTCTTCACAGTCTCAGATATTCCTGTCTCCCCCACCCTCCCAATAGCAACATGACTCATATGCCTTCTGCCAAAGCTCCACTTCCCTGCACCACTCGTACCCCCTCCTCTTTGTCGTGTCCTCAGCCTCTTCATGCCAGAGAAAAATTATTTATAAAGTGCTGGAGCTGCTGGTACTCATGATGTTAGTGGTGGTGGTGGGGACAGGCTTTGGTTGGCTTGCAGACCTACATCAAGCCTAAATGACGCAGGCTGGGGTTCAGCGGTGAGGCATGCAACTAGGGTGGGACTGTGGGAAGTACAGAGAGAATGATAGTTTGCAAATATACGCCACAGCTTAGAGAGAGCACTGCAACATCAATTAGATTTAACTTATCACCTCTGCTCACAACAGGTCTATATATATAGCTTTACTAAACATAGAGCTTATTCTGTCAAAGTACTGAGAAAACACCCTCAGACAAATTCAGTAAGTGTCTGTGTGAAAAGGTGAAGTAGCAAAAATGTGTATCTTATACTACTCACTAGGGGGGGAACACCAGTGGCCCCACTATATGATATTATCACGATACTTGGGCCACGATATGATGTTATCACGATACTTGGGCCACGATATGATATTATCACGATACTTGGGCCACGATATGATATTATCACGATACTTGGGCCACGATATGACGTTATCACGATACTTGGGCCACGATACAATTTTATCACATTACTTGGGCCACAGTATGATGTTGTCATGATACTTGGGCCACGATACGATATTATTGCAATTTTTTAACATTTTGCAATACAGTGCGTATTGCATTATAGTATGTTGCGATTTATACCATTTTTTCAACTGTTTAGCTGATTTAGAATTTGTCTTTTCTTTATGTTTATCTTATTTACTCAGTTTTTTATTTAATAATAATAATAATGCATCAGATTTTCATAGCCCTTTATCAGAGACCATCAACAAGCTTTACATTGGGTACATCATTTATTTGCTCACACAGTCACACCTCGGTGGTGGTAAACTACCTTAGTAGTCACAGCTGCCCTGGGGCAGACTGACGGAAACGTGGCTGTCAGTTTGCACCTACAGCCTCTCCGACCACACAACACTCACTTTCATACACCAGTGGAGGACACACTCTGGGAGCAAGGTGGGTTAAGTGTCTTGCCCAAGGACACAACAGACAGACTTGGAATAGGGGGGAATCGAACTACCAGTTCATGTAGCACATCTTGCAAACCTCACATATATTTGTTGTCCTAAGTTGATTTTATTTTTCCATTATCATAGATTTGACTTCATATTAACAATTAACTGAAAAATCGATACTTGGTAAAGAGACGATAGGATATATCACTAAACAAAATATTGTGATACTGTAGTGTATCAGATTTTTCTCCCACCCCTACTACTTACCAAATATAGCCTTTTTATCTGAAGATGCTTTGCAATGGCTTGACTGGCCTCTCATGCTCAGGTTTTATTTTGAGCCATTTCAGGTTACTTATGCAAATAGAGAGAGCTTAAACACAGCAACAACGTCAATGTGATGCTTATGATGAGTCACACGAAAGGGAGTCGGAGTTACTCTGTTAATCCACACATCATTGCTCACACACAGACAGACACACGGTCTCGCACACACCTGCCGGGTGCAGACACATTTTGATTCCTCCACACACCCTCCCCCACAGTAATGAGACACAATCTCTCAGAAAGAAAGACTCCCACACATCAAGAGGCAGGAATCTCTGACACAAGTGTGAATATAGCCTTTAATCAAAGAGGTTTTTGCATTACATGTCACACATACAGTAAACTTAAATTTCAGTGGAACAATAGAGAAGAATGGAAGTTTGAAGAGGGATTCACTCTCACATTAGTGTGTAAACATGTTTAATCTCCAGTTTCTTAAGTGTCATTTCAGGTAATAATTAAGAATGATTTACAACCTGCACAAGCAGAGCTCTCATCATAATTACCAAAATACCTGGAGTGCCACATCAAAGACACTGAATATATTTTATATGCTCAGGCTGAGTGAGTTTATGTTGGCGCTTGTGTGAGAGGGACTTGTTGTTGCTTGTGTACATTTCGGTCCTCTGACGTGCGTGTAATTTGTAGCAGCGTCGCTCTGCTAGAGGCAGCCGTTTCCATTGTATTCAACCCAGGAGTCAGCACATATCATACAAGTCAGGTGGTGCAGAGAAAGTAGGCGAGAGAGGAGGGGTAGAGAGAGAGAGAGATGGAGTTACACTTTTTTAATATGATTTTGGATTCCCTTTGGCAGCATGGTATTGCTGGAGTCAGGAAAGCTTTCATTCTCAACATGTTTTTGGTCAAGAAGCAAAGATCTGGGCTGACTCTGTATTTGCTATCTCAGATTTTATTAAGTTTACATGCCCTCCATTTACCTGTAATTTTTCTTTTCAAATCCGAGAGTTTATCAAACTTTACCTTTTAATAATTGCTGTGTGTGTTGATACATAATTCACCATATGCTACAGATTAATGAAAAAGCTTCTAGCAAAAACTTAGGGGTACAAAATAAACAAATCCTGTTTACAAGTTTCGACAGATCTCTCAAGTTGTGCTGCCAAATTCCATCACTGCGCAAACAACTCACGGCAACACTTTGTTTATACAGACCATAATTTTGTATAAGCCGGTCTATTCTGTTTCCCCTGCTTGTTTACAAAACAGCGCTGATATATCAGCTGCTGGTTCTATTAGATTAAAATGTATCCCCCATTATACTCTGTGTCCATAATTTGTTTTCACCTAATAATGAATTATTTCCGTGTCAGTGGCTGGTCTGAAAAGGATGCATGTTTAACAATCCAGTGCACATCTCTGCCTAACATAATGCAGCAAAATAATAACATAGCATATATCCAAACGTTACCTTCATTTCAAGGACACCTCCTTATGGGGAGCACAATGGATGTTCACAGTAAGACCATTTAATTTACATCCAGAAAAAGTGTTAAAGAAATGCTTTTTAGTTTTACTTCTATTAAAGGAAAACCCTAGCACCTCCACCCTGCTCGCTTGATTGAGTTGGTTATTTTCAAAGTTTAATCTCCTCCTGTGCCACAGGATGCTTTCAGACTCCAGAGTAACATGATGGGGTTTTTAAAATTTTAATCACACATCAGTGGTTTTATTTTCAACATCCGTCCTTGATTCCAATGAGAAGACAGTTCTTGCCGGAAGCACATGGGAATGTCATTTCAGGGATGGTAGCCCGTATTTTTCCTGTTTGGAAAGGAGGGAGTGTTTTAGATTGAAGAAGCCTTCTTTTCCCTCAAGCTTCGTAAATAAATCTCAAACTTGCACTGATCATCTTTTCTCTCTCCATTTCTCTGGTCAATCAACTCCCACACATTTCCTCTGGTTAGGCAGAAATCCACCTCTGATTCCGAGGCTAAAATAAAAGTTAGATCTTGGGGAGCTGCCTATTTTCACAAAGATCAATCAGCCAAACAGTAGCTAACAGCACACTCTGGAGCCATATGTAATCATGTAAAAAACCTACAGTAAGTTGATGACAGTGGGAGTACTGTGGAAAATATCAATCTGAGATCTAAACTTCTGTGATTACAACTTTTGTCCATTTTAGCTGGAAAACAACAAACACGAGGAGGTTTAAGAGATGACATCGCTTGGTATTTATAAGTAGGATGTTATCCTCTTGTTGGCAATTAGTCTGACAGCCGGCTGTCATTTAGATAAAAAGAGCAAAACTGGTGTTAGATTTGTCAGTTATCTCACTGCCCGAACAGAGGTGACTGAGTTTGTTTTGACAGATCGTGTGTTTTTTTTTATTTTCAAAAAGACATACCTCCTGTTTTAGAGCACAGTACTCTCCTTCACATCACAGTTTCGTCCAGTAGAGATGTCTGGGCTGGACTTACTGGCTCTCCTGAGGGTCCATTCAGAGAGGAAATACCACACGTGTTCAGGACTGTTACACAACGAGACACAACAGGATGATAGTAGTTTGAGAACCATGTAGAAAAAAAAAAGTTACTGAATCTGATATCAAACATAACACTTAATCACCAAAGAGTGTTGCTGATGGCTGTTTCATCTCATTAGCTCTCAGTATTTATCCTAAAATTTGTCTTGAAGAGCCGAGACGTACAACCCTGTTTGTGTCAGTGAACAAGTGAATGGACAGATTTTTTTTTTGTAGCCAGCGTGACGAACATGCATGAAAGTGTGGGTGTGGGTGTGTCGTAAACACCTCCAACTAAAAGGGACTTAAATAATAGAAAGTAATTGAGTTCCTAATTTTGTCTTGACAATATTTTTCTGTTTGTTTCCTGATGCCATGTGTGTTTGTTTTGTTTGTATTAGCCCGATGTCACTGCGCGCTCTGTTTATTTTCCTGAACGTGTTGAGAGTAAGACTCGTGTTCCCTTGTGTGTTTGTTTGCCCTTAGCGGTGTGGGTTACATGTTACCAGAATTACAAATACGCTATGTAAATAGCACCAGCAGTTGTTTTGGGATTTCCGTGGACAGAGTGTGTGGATGGATGGTTGCAGAAATCAAAGGAGGCTTTCCTGCCTACAGACTTGTCATATTAATCATCAGTACGATTCTCTCTTTTTCTGTGTCTCTGTAGGTGTTTTGTCTCTTCCGGCCCATTTCAGTCCCTACACAGAGAACCAGCAGACGACTGTGGACAGCAGGGAGGATGCCTATGCCCAGCTGGAGCTGAGGACACTGGAACAGTCCCTGCTGGCTACCTGTGTGGGCAGCATATCTGAGCTCAGTGAGTACATAAAGTCCTGACAGAGTAGTGTCTGGTCCTGCATCTTTTAATGTATACAAAAATGTGTTTTTTATTAACATAGTTTATTTAATCTATTAAGATTTTATGAGATCTTTTAGCAATCACAAACAATCTAAAATAAGGGGGAAAAAAATCGTGTCATTACAGACAAGCTATCCTTTAAAAGTTTTATCAAATAACTATCAATTCATCCACTGCCATTCAAACACACATCTGGAGATAACTTCACAGCTCTAGATGACAGAGTACCTCCCCCCCTGCAAAATAAGGCTCTTTTTTCACAGCCTAGTGTCAGGCAAAGATAATAGAGTTATTTTTACCGCATGCTGTCTGATAAGTCCTGACTTGCACCTTATTGTGAAAGCTTTCGTATTTAGACTCTCCTAAAATAAGCAGTTGGGTAGTTCATCTACACATGAGGCCCTGGGGAGTTAAGTGATAATAACTATATACAGTCCTCTGTTTCTTTAAAGGACATAAAGAGTCCAGACTCATCCTAACCTCCCTTTATAGTCACATATGTATGATGAAAGACACATGCTGCTTTAGTTTGACATTTTGTTCTGTTTTAGTGCACCAGAGAGGGTTTATGCTGTGTTCAACAGGAGATTCAAACACAAGTCTTTTCCACAGCCAGTTCAGGAACTTTGTCTACATTTGGTCAGGTTAGAGATTCATGAATCTAGACAGTCAAAGTGTAAGAGGTGAGACCCTCCCTGGGACTATTTTTTTTCCACTCCACCACCACGGTTTGAAAGGTGGGATAGATTTCTTGAAATACTGCCAGTTTTAAATGTCCCTGTCTGTGGACTGAGGCTGGCAAACAGAGAGGCATGCACAGACTCGTGTACACAGACCTACTGTAGTCTACTGTACATATGGTTTGTTTAAACTGGGGCACCGTAAGAACAGGTCATTAAAAAGTGAGAAAAAGGGGAGTGGAGGTCCGGGGGTTGGAAAAGTGGGGGATTAAATTTAAAGATGAAGTATGTTGAAGTTAAAGCAAGGTTGGGTTGTGCGAAGGTTTGGTGGGGGGAGGGTTGCTGGAAAGGTAGAGAGGTGAAGAGTGAGGTCGTAAGTGTGAGCAGAGAGCAGGGATGGAGATTAGTGTTTGTGAGGGCCAGAGTAGGTTTCCTTCTCCAAATGAGCTAACACTCTGCCATTTGTTCGTCCAGCACAAGGCCACGTTCATCCACCACACCGCCGTTAGTGAGGCATTAAGAAAGTGTACACACAGGCTCCAACACAGACACACTCTTTCTCTCTCGCTCAGTGGTCTCTTTGTGCCACATCTCTCTGGTGGTGTGAAGCCGGGCCGGGCTGGCATCCTTCAGAGTCACTCAAGCCTACAGACACGCACACATATACACACGCAGGCATGTGTTCACAGATACACACACAACAACAAAAACTCAGAGGACTTGGCACTCTGATCTGAGCCCAAGAGACCGGGCAGACATAGGAGCATCTGTACTCAGCTGCTCAGGCCTGCTGGATCTCTAGACTGGACTTGGCCAGACACACCAACACACAGCATACATAAACATGATGGAGAGCGAGTGGCAGCATACTGGTCATTTCAGCTAAATGTCCAAAATTGTTGGAAATATTGTGGGAGCAGCAAACTGGTACTGAATGTCGTCTCCAGACAGATTCGACGGTTTAATTTTTCAGCTCTTTGGAGGTCTTCATGGGCTCTGAGAACTTTTATCCATTACAGCTGTGTATGTGACCTTCCTATAATTCAGGGAAATATTAAGGATAAGCTTTGTGGAAAAGACTAAAACCAGTTAGCAACTGGGGTCAAAGGAAATCCTGATAAAACACGAGTAAACATGTTTGAATCCTAACTGAACTGGACTTTATTCTCTGAGGGAGTTTATTATCTCATAACTCGAAACCTAGGAGGTATGCTTGGTCAGTATGCATTCAGAAAGCAGTCATGTCACAGTTTATTGGCGAGGTCTCCAATATGGGCTGTAATCCAAGAATGAAGTATTTCATATCCTTTTAACCCCTGGAGCTCACTCTTAGCTGGGGGGCACAATATAGGCTGAGAAAGCCAGAGAGGGGCTCTCCATCTTCGGCTAGAATTCCTGGGAGACCTCCTGAAGGGGTTTGCTAGTAGTGGTTAACACAAAGGAGGCCCTTCAGCTTGAAGTGGGGTCTGTTTTCTGGTGGGGGGCACCTCACTATTACCCCCCTCGAAGTACCCCCCTAATATAGACCTTCACATACACACTCTCAAGGCAGAAGCCCAAAGCCTCGCCCCCCTCTTGCGGCATCCTTCTCACAGTAATCTGGTTAGAAATTAACCCGGGGGTAATTACGCTAAATGAGCGTTACATGATCTCAAGTTCAACCTGGCCTGCTTCCATCATTCTGCCCCTCCTCCACATCCTCTCCTTGTGACAACTGATGTTTTGTCTCTCCACTAGACCAAGTGGTCAAGCACTTGGATGTTATCTTACACATTTGAGCCTTTGCGGCCCCTCACCCTTCTTTTTGGGTACCCGGCTTCACGTGGTTGTTCACTTAGCTCACAGTGTGGGTGGACAAATACTCCGATGAGCTTCATGTTTTTCTGTCTTTTTCTTAGTGACAGTTGAGACAAATTCAGACTCTTAATCACAGATCGAAACCTCGGTTTTTTTTATCACGTCCAACACCCACAAATCCACCTTTTCAAGCTGAGTGCTGTGATTGAAATCTGTCAATACAGAGACGGTTGAACGGTTCGTTAGAGCCTGTGATCAACTGTCTCTTCGCCCATTAACTCCTTCAGTGGTTAGAGATGAATGGCTGTTTAGACTGGCCGTCTGGCTGTGCTCACTGGTAATGACACACGGCTAATGGCAAATACCTCCAGAGACATAAAGAAAGAGAATAATGAGTAAAGGGAAGTTAGAGGTAAGTGGTTTTGGTAAAAGGGGAAATCCAGTTTGATTAGGGGCCAACAGTGTTTAAAACGAGCACTAAGAACTCTGGTTGGAGTTTTTTTTTTCTGTTGAGCCAATTTTCCATTCCACTGATGCGATACTGCGTTCAGACTTAAGTAAATGAAATGAACAAATTTTGACAAGTATCCATTGAAAATCTTGGTCTGATCTCTCTGCCCTCTCCTTCGTTCCAGGTGACTTGGTTTCCCGCGCCATGCACCACATGCAGCGCCTCAGCTCAGTGCGTCCAGGACTAAGCCCTGCCCGCCACGCCCGTCCCCAGCAGCCCGTGTCCTGGTCGCCGGACGCCCTCCACACCCTTTACTACTTCCTGCGCTGCCCGCAGATGGAGTCCATGGAGAATCCAAACTTGGATCCCCCACGTATGGCACTTAGCAAGGAGAGGTGGGAGTCTTTTCTTTTCCCTCTAAACTACATCATAAACAGTGATACTTTCTCCACATTGTTGATATACAGGTTGTTGTTTTTTATTAATCCACTCATAAAACACTGATTTCAGTAAAGGTCAGCATCCCTGTGCTTTATTTGATTAAATGCATCTGTTAATTTTAACAGTTAAACTTGGTGTATTATGTTGACTGGGGGGTGATAGCTTCAACCCCAACTGTCACAAATACAAAAACATCCACAGATTAACAAAGAGGCACTAATCAAGTCAGCAGCTTTTTTCCCAGAACACCTTTCTTCCTCAGTCATCCAACTCTAACCCTGTTGTCATTGAAGGGATCATTTTCTGTAGGTAAATGACAGGTATGCAAAAGACTTCAGGTGCTAATGCTAGTCTCACAGACGGGTAATTTGCACCTTGGTAGCATTAAATAGATTGAAGACTGCTGGTTAGGGAGGGTTTAAGAGGTGCTAATGGTCTGTAATTCTGTTAGGGGTCTCTTTAGATCCACCCTGGGTTGCTGCTGGAGAACAATTACAGTAATTCTTTTATTTATTTTCAGTCCAGAGACAAATGGTGAATTATTTTTACTGCCTGAATGTACTGTGAGGTATATTTTCATTCTAAGTGGAATATACCTGACCGTTTTAATATTCTGCTGATTAGTTTACTAGAGGAAAATACTTTTTATTTGATTGTGTTTCCATAGAAAACAGCCGTAAACCTGAACGCAGTGCTGTCTCCTCTCTTTCGAGGTGAATTGATAAAACCTGTTTAGCATCACTTTGCATGACTCTCAGGTCCGTAAGAGTCATTTTCTACAGTTAAAAATAATGTGCAAACACTTCAAGTGACACAAACTTTCAGTTTTAATGTAGGAAAAAAAAAACATGTTAAACACAGACACATGTTAACCAAATCACAGGTTCACTCGAGTAGACATATGTAAAACAGGTCCATAGAAAGGGCTTTTGTGTTTGCAAAGGTTAACTACACTTCCTTCACTGATCCGTGGAGGCCCGTCCCCTAAAGTGTACAAATTGGAGGCAGCTTTACCTATAGTGTGTGTGTGTGTTCACTTTATATTGTTAGTGTGATTCTTTGTGTGTTTGTTTTTCCTAGTTAATGTGCTAACCCCAAGAAACTCACATTTTTGTCATCCTATGGCAGTGTGAAGGTGAGGGAATGAAAAACATGGTGCGTGGATTTTGACCCATTTTGCCATGAACTTGAGCACATTTACATCTCCGTAGACAGATGCTCAGACACACCGCCAGCTGGCTCCTATATATTTAATAGCAAACAGACATGGTGTGAGCGAGCAAAGGTGGGCTTCTCATTAGCTTCAAAGAGAAGTGAACAGTAAATATATATATACCCCTCTTCTCCCTGTTTCTGGCTGTTTTTTGTCCAACTCCTCAGATGTTTTTGATGCTGGGTGTAAATCAGCCGGGTTTATGAGCGCAGGGTGAAATGTTTCAGCAACCTAAGATACAGATTACTTCTAAACATGTGTGACTTTATATTTTCCTGTCTGTTGCCTATATACGTGTCTCTGCGTATGACTGTGTGCGTTGTGTGACAGACTCAGGTGGCAGAATAAAGTTGTCCAAACCTGGTAGTGATTACAATGTGAGCGCCTGGTAACCATATAGACTTCTCTCCTTCAATGGGCCTCTCATTCTCTGGAGCTCACCCTCTATTGAAAGCTTTATAAAAGTCTTTGGTGGAAACCCAAAACCACCAAATCTGTGTGGGCCACATCATTAAAAATTATCAGAAGCCTGGCTCGAGCCTTCATCCAGAATCCTCAGGACGCAGAGAGACACTGTTTTTGTTTTGATCTTTTCAATTTGGTACTCAGATGTAGTCCTTACTGATTATGTTGTATTAAATGGGACACACACTAGAGACTACTTATTTTTGCCTTTACTTCCCACTCTTAAGCCCAAAACGTATCAAAATACAACATTTCTGGGAGCTGAAAGCTATTAACAGATCACTTCACTGATAGAATCACTTACCACCAAAAGGGATAACTTCCAAACTGGAAGCTGAAGAGACCACCCCAAAACCTCTGCACTCCCCAGTGGATGGAAAGGAGCACTAATGGATAGATGTGTTACAAAGATAAGAAGCAGCCATTTGGGCTCAATTCTAACCACAAATACATCTGATACGGTAACATCCCCTTTATGGAGCCTTTGTGAGCGTAATCTGACTCCAGATCAGTGGTTAACCCTGACCTTTGCAGCACATGACGAAGTCTGCTTTAAGACCTCATTGAAGTTTTTTAACTATATGAACTCAATCACAGTGACTTCAGGGTTTAGGACTCAACAGACATATGGAACCAGTGTGATGTTGCCCCCTGGGAAGTCTCTCCTCTTTTCGTGGGAGAGTTCAAACACACCTGACTATTAGTAGAGCAGACCAGCCAGGTGGTGGTGAGAGAGGTGTCATGAATCAGATTCTACATTTATATTTGTGTCTGTGTGGGAACATGTGTGGGAGAGTTTGTGTTTGTGTGTCCTCGTGTGTCAACATCCTGCTGTTCTCAGTGTGTAGCCCTAGCATGTTGGGGTCAGCGGGCCGGACAGGGGCGCTATCTAGTTTCAGCGTTAACAAGCGTCTCAGCTTTGATGTCACACCAACCCTCTGAGGTGGGTGAAGTTTGTGTTTCAGGCTGAGGGGCATAACCTAGACACCGGGGTCAGATGAGAGGGGTACCGGGGAGCAGTAAAGAAAGAGGGTGACAGTTTTCTAGAAAACAAGAAGCAATGAATTGTGGGATAAAGGCCAGAGCTCTATGCTCCATCTGTCTAGAGTCATGGGCCACTTGCAAAGGTGTGTACACACACACATGGGCTGAGTTGACTTGTGGTTGTATATCTGTTCACGCCTCATTCAGACACGCACATACACACAACCTTAAATGTTAACTGAGATAAAAACTGTCCTCATTTCTCCCCTGAAAGGATGTTTTTACTTTGGCATTTATTAACAACATGATTATCTCACTTCTAAATGATAGGCTGTGAAATGCGGATCGATACAGAATATTTCTCAGATGGATCAATAACTGTTAAGTGTGAAAAGCCTGATATGGTTGTTTGGAGTTGCATTAGTTCTGGATTAGTCACAGTGTCATGTGTATGCCTGGAAGCAAGCAGGCGGTGAAGTATCAAAGTGTTTGAGAGTACAGAGCAGACACACAGATGAACAAACAGGCTCACAAACAGTCCAGTTTGGGTGGAGTGGAGCCCCTTAAGAGAAAAACATTGATTTCAAAGCCCCTCCTCAACTCAACCTGCCTTTCTTATCACTCTACACCCGCAGCACTGTCTCCAAACTGCTTCCCACCCCCGTCTTTATAAAGACATATCCCACCTGGCTCCCGAACACTTAAACCCTCCTAATATGCATCCATCAGACTCATTTAGCCACTCCTGCTCCTCCTCCTTCCCATCAGCCCCTCGTCTGCTTGTTAACCGTCACAGCTGGGTGACAGCAGGGTCCTCCTCCTGACTGATCAGAGGCAGATAAACAGCTTAAATACTTTACTGAGAGGCTGAGAGATAAAATGGAGAGAAAGCTAGGAGAGCAGGGTATCTGAAGGACTCCACTCGGGCGACGATTTAACGCCACAGTAAAGTCAGAGCAGAAATTAAATGCCAACTCTGTTTTAAAATGTTTAAAACCTTTCCAAAAGATAAGGCAATAAAGAGGCTGAAAGTTCTGTTAGAATTTAGTTACGAGAAAATACAGATATGTAATGGTCAATAAAATTTTAAAAGTCAACCAATTACGAATAGTTCAAACTATAAAAAATGGACTGAAGGTTTATTATTGAGCACATCTGGTTCAGTAACCTTGATGAAATATTATGCTTGGAAAAACGTTGTAAAATCAAGTACGTTTCACATGGAGCGAGGGATGAAAAAGGCTAACAGTTATTAAATTAAACTACCAGATAAAGTGGTGAAAGTGCACTAAGTACTGAGTACGATAAAGCGTTGTTATGGAGAATGAGACGTTCTATAGGAAACCACAGGTAGCTGCTTTAGCGTAGCGAGTGAGAGGAATAAATAGCACTGCAGGGGTCTCAGTGCTCATTAACAGTAACCGCATTCACACTACAGAGCTATATCATTAGACACTGCTCCATGCTCCATCTGTATTCATGATATCCATTCAAGCATTTGCAACTCTCAGAACAAAGGGAAGGCCACTGATAAGAGTAATATCCCAGCAGGAGAGAGGCGGCTCAGAAACTTTGATTAGAGAGTCAGAACAATCATTAACACGCTTTGAATTGAGCTCCATAGGAACAAAGCAAACAACGGTAATGTGTTATTGTTTACAGGCACATTCAATACACATGTGGTGAGAGAAAGGCACATACAAGAAAGGATTATCAACAGATAACCAGGCAGACATGGCGTTGCAGAGAGCCGTATAATCAGCAATGATTTTTAGAGGGTTTTATAAGGATGCTTTAAAGGAGGGGGACAATGAGGAGACAGAAAAAGAGAGCGAGGGAATAATCCTGATGACTTTTCGAATGCCACGTTCACAAATACCACAGAAGACCTAACGTTCTGCTCTCAGTTCGTCCTCCACTGATGTTTACCCGACTGCCTCTCATGACATTTTTTCTTGTTCTCTCAGGCTATTTTAATCCTTTTTCACATTCTGACTTGTTTTTATGGCTGTTTGATCAGAGTGAGTGTCTAAACAGAAAGCCAGGGAGGGTGCTGCACCTTCTTTCTGCTCCCTGAGGTGGTTTATTCTGCTACAACTGGTTTAAAAATAGACTGAATAATCAGAAGCCACTGCAGTGTTTTGTTTATCAAACTGCAGCACAGATGAAGTCACAGTAATGTCTTCATCTCCAGTCACTTAGAAACTGATGTCTAACCGCAGCACCTGGAAACTTACATAGAAACTCTGGTTAGTCATATAGATGTCTTCACCTGCGTGAACATACAGGTGTGAGGACTTCAAAGGAAGATGTATATGGTGTGTAAAAGCTGGCAAATGTGTGTGATAAGAAGAGGTGAGGTGCTCTGGACAGGGTGCATGAGTGTGTTCAGATGTGACTCACATACACTGGTCAGGCTGAGGGGGAAGTACAGCCAGACATATGTAAGTCATCTGGTTGAAGACGGTTTATGAGTTCTCTATCAGCATGACTACATCACGGGTGAGGAAACCTCCCACTCAGCGCTGAGATCAGTGTCCTGCACAAAGTTCACTGGGGAGGAAACAGACTGTAAAAAACTAACACAACTTAGTGTTTACAGTAGCAGCTGATTTTTAAAATACATTCAGTTGGGATTTTTTTGTGTAAAACTCTGCCGAACATACTGAGGGACAATTAGATTGATCATTCTCTTTCCCCCCTACAGGCCGTTCCTGTTGCTACCACCTCTGATGGAGTGGATGAGAGTGGCCATAGTTCACGCTGAGCATCGCAAGAGTCTGCTGGTGGACAGTGATGACGTCAGACAGACCGCCAGGCTGCTCCTTCCAGGACTGGACTGTGAACCAAGACAGCTCAAGTAAAAAGAAAACACACACGTGCTTAGACACGTTCCCTCTAACCTCAACACTGTAGGCGTCTAATTTAATTGGTTCACCTCTACATAAATAATTACACAGTGTCTATAGGAGATGATTGTTTGTGTACTAACTGTAATGTGGCTCATTAGCCTCCTTATAAAGGAAACAAACAAATGTTCAGAATAAGAACACAACACTTATCTAAACAAGTGTGGCTCTGAGTCTCACGCTTGCCCAAGTGGAGAATACAGGGGTGTCTTCTCACATGTAGCTACTTTCCCTGAAGGTGGATTATTCATTTGTTAATCATCCTCTTTCTTTGTGTGTCTCTCTACATCAGGCCTGAGTGTTGCTTCAGCTCCTTCAAGCGTCTGGACTCCAAAGCAGCCACAGACAAGTTCCACCTTGACTTGGGTTTTCGGATGCTCAACTGTGGACGCACAGATCTCATTGGCCAAGCTATCGACCTTCTTGGGCCAGACGGGGTCAACAGCATGGATGACCAGGTACTCAACATAAGTCTCTCTGTGTGTATGAGAGTGTATTTTATGCATTTTTTATGCATTATGAGATACATTTTTCTCACATTTGTGTTCATTGAACTTCTCAGGGGATGACTCCTCTAATGTACGCCTGTGCGGCTGGAGATGAGGCTTTAGTCCAGATGTTGATTGATGCTGGGGCCAACCTTGATGTGGCGGTAAATATCCTTCAATAGCTTCAATATGCGAACATACTTACTCAAATCTGCAGGTCAAGTTATCTGCTGCATAGACACAGAGGAGGTGAAGATATTGATATTATTTCCAGTGTTATCTGAGATGTTTATTTTTGCACATTTAACACTGATTCCTTCTGTCTTGGCAGGTTCCTCCATGCTCCCCAAAGCACCCCTCTGTGCACCCTGACAGCCGACACTGGGCTGCCCTCACCTTTGCTGTGCTGCACGGACACATCTCTGTTGTGCAGGTGAGAAACACAAAAGCACACACGTGGAGCCCACAATGAACACAGCTGGTTCGACACAGTCCTAAGCCAGAATATTTCTCCATCAAAAGTTGGGTGACATGTGTGAGGTCAGAGGTCAGGCTATGAATGAGTTACAGGGTGTCAAACACAGAGCAGTATTCTAACATATGTGGTTCGTATTCACAGCTCCTGTTGGATGCAGGAGCCAACGTGGAGGGAGCAGCAGTCCGCAATGGGCAGGAGAGCACGGCAGACACCCCGCTGCAGCTGGCTTCAGCAGCAGGTGGGCAAACACATGCACACACATTAAAACACACATACACAAACACGGCACTACACCGCAATGTAAAACAAGACACAGCTCATACTAGAGGGTTGTCCTACACGTGTTCATGCCCTGATCTGATTTATGTGACTGAATTACTGCCTACTGCAAAGTCATTTAAGAAGGAAGTTTGTCACGGGTCAAACAAAACAAAGAGATGAACTGCTGTTGAAACTTGATGAAAATTAACCCGTGATAACAATTGGTCACAATTACAGCAGTGTACCACAGCTCTGAAGGACCACCAAGTGTAGCACAGGATTGAGTTGTGAATGGCACATTGGCTGGAGGAATGAGGAAATGAGAGGGTAAACGAAGGCACAGTGAAAGCGGTGGAGTGCTGCCTGTGGTTGTTTAGAAGCCTCTGGGCAGCATTCCTCTGCGGGATCATCTAAAAGCCACACATAGCTGTAGTAGAGAGACAGATGCTGTGCACAGCAGCCATGAGTTTGTAAATAGTGCCTGATATGAATGTGTTTGCTCGTTTGACCAAAGTCAAAGTCATAAAAGTCATAAAACTAAATTTGTCTCTGTTGTAAAACCTATTCTTTGCAGCAGTATGCAATAGAGAGAAAAAAGTAGACATTACAGAATACCACACTGATTAATTTTAAAACAGGAATTAAAAACACTCAAAATAAAATATTTTAAGATGTAAACAGCAGTCCTAACAATTCAAAATTACTACCAGGAAAACTAGCCAACAAACAAACAAATTAACCATCTAGCTAACAAACAAACGAGTTAACTAACGAACCAACTAGCTAACAAACTAACTAAATAACTAGCTAACAATCAAACAAACAAGTAAACTAACTAAATAACTAGCTAACAAACAAGTTAACTAACTAACAAGCTAACTAACTAACTTACTAACTAACTAACTAACTATCAAACAAACAAGTTAGCTAACTAACTAGCTAACAAACAAAGAAACTAGCTAACTTACTAGCTAACAAACAAAGAAACTAGCTAACTAACTAGCTAACAAACAAACTAGCTTACAAACAAATAAACAAACTAGCTAGTTAACTAGTTAACTAACTAACTAGCTGTGTGGTTGTGCAGACAGTAAAGATATTAAGTGTGTAGCTTGTTAACATTTCTCCTGTCAATCTCTGAGATCTGTATCTGTGTGTGTAATGGACGGTTTTTGTGCTTCTCAGGGAACTATGAGATGGTGAGTTTGCTCCTGGCTCGTGGCGCAGACCCCTTATCAAAGACCCATGACGGAAATGCCCTGACCTCATCACTATATGAAGACATGAACTGCTTCAGTCATGCAGCTGCACACGGACACAGGTATGTGGCTCACTCTGACCTGAAGACAGCATGCTGTCAACAGATGCTGCTGACAAACGGCCTGCGTTTGGCCTCTGAACCACAGTGAGGAAAGAAAGGCTGGAGAAATATCACCAGCTCTCTATCAGTGGAGACCTGAGTCTGTACTTAAGCTTTTAGGAGAGATTTATCCCTCTATCATGCGCTGAAATTGAGGACCTTGAGAGTGTAAAAGGGTCTCCTTCTATTCAAAGTCCGTCTGTCTTTGAACACCAACTGGCAGCGTAAACCTCTCCACCTGTTCACTGTGTGGATGTGTGAACACAATGTAGACTCAACACTTCACATTCCCCAGTGAGAGTGACAGATTATGTAATCAGAGAGGAGGATACAGGGTCACAGAAATGGATGTCGGTGTTGCAGTGAGGACATTATTCATGTCTCTTTCTTTCTTCCTTCCCTTCCTCCCTTGTCCTCCTCCTTGCCTCCCTCCTTCCTCTCATTTATCTTGTCAGAAACGTGCTGAGAAAGCTACTGACTCAGCCCCAGCAAGTCAAAGAGGATGTCCTGTCTCTGGAGGAGATCTTGGCTGAAGGGGTTGAGGCTGAGGAGGCCAGGATCTGCCCTTTCCTCCCTCTCTCCCCCCTTCCCACCCCCTCCTCTGGCCCCGGGGCCCAGCCTGAGGTGGCTATAGGACGGCTCTGCAAGGCCAGGATGAAGGCTCTGCAAGAGGCCAGCTACTACAGCGCTGAGCACGGCTACCTGGACGTCACCATGGAGCTGAGAGCTTTAGGTACTTATCAGACAGCTAAAAAAGGGGATTCACTTATTTATTTATTTTTAAATGTGCAACTTTAAATACCAACTAACTCTGTTCCTCTTTTACTAGGTGTCCCATGGAAGCTTCACGTGTGGCTGGAGTCTCTAAGGTGCGCTCAGCTGCAGTCCAGGACAGGGGTCACACTCTCGCTCCTCAGGGAGTTCACCACCATCAGAGAAGAGGACTACTGCGGGGAGCTGGTCACTGTAGGCCTGCCCCTCATGTTCAACACCTTACGGACCACTAAGGTATTATTAAACATCAAATTTGTTCCCTTGTCTTCCTCCTCATGTTATCAGCGAGTCTTCAGTCTGGAAGTGTGAAATGACGCCCCCTCTTCTGCTCTCTTACTTCCCTCCAGAATGACACCATCATTCAGCAGTTGGCGACTATTTTTAGCCACTGTTTTGGCCCGGCACCTCTCCCAGCAGTCCCTGATAAGAAGACAACTCTTTCAGCACAGTTGGGTAAGCAAATGATGGCTCTGACACATGAAAAGTTCTATGTTTAGTGGTGATGACGAGGATGGTTTAATAATAACACGTAATGATCATTTTAAAATACACACACAACCAATGTCTTTTTTTGTGAGCAGGCGTGTAGACTTAAAGGGATAAAGTTGTAATGAGGTGCGTCTATGTTTTCCTACAGATCCACATTTCCTCAATAACCAGGAAATGTCCGATGTGACATTCGTGGTGGAGGGGAAACCGTTCTACGGCCACAGAGTCCTGCTGATCACAGCTTCAGACAGGTGAACGCACACAGGATCACAGAAACATCCTCTACAGCCCGCTCAATGACTTCAAGGGTTTTTACTGAGATATTTATTTGCTTGTAGATTCAAGTCTTTGCTGGCATCGTCTGGACCAGATGGGAGCCCCAACAAAGAGATTGAGATCAGTGACGTCAAGTACAGAACTTTCCAGGTACCAGATCTTCCCAACTATTCTTGATGGAAATGTTTAGCACAACTACTGTTAGGGTGATAAAACAAAATGAGAAAAAATACGAAACACGATTGGTTGACTGCATACATTATTTGATCCTAAACAAGACCTTTGACCTCTCTGCAGATAATGATGTCATACTTGTACTGTGGGGGAACAGAGTCACTGAAGGTTAACGTGCCTGAGCTGCTAGAGGTAAGCATCACGTAATATGTACTCAGTGTGTGTCAGGGTACTTGTGGTAAAAAAAAACAAAGCTTCTCATGAGTCCACAAAAACTGAAAGGAAAAAAATCTGTTACTGTGCTGAGATAATCCCTTTAAATCTGAACGTGTAAAGGATCTATGGATGAGATTAGAAAAAACTCGTCCTGCCCCACTCTGACCCCTCATATGCAGCGACACAGTGTTTCACTGAGTCCATTTGGAGTCACTGAGTAGACCTGTAAATGAATTTTTAAGTTACATCAACAAAGGCTTTTAAAAGAATCTTTCTGAATCATGCTTTCATAAATCCTCAGCAGAGACCTTCTTAAAACCTTACAACAAAGAAAAGCTGCAGCCAGTTTGTGAAAGTCACTATCGTTCTTTACTGCTTATCAACATTTTTACTGGCACACCAACAGGGTAACTAGTTGATTACATTTTTCTCTTGGAAACTTGATACTTAAAGGGATATTCCGGCGTAAATTTAAGTTATGGTCAAACACACTGTAACACAGAGTTAGACATCTCCTCAAGAGATAAATGTTGCCAACTGCTTGCTTCTCTAGTTATATACACAATACTGCAATACACAGCAGTCTACGTCTCCACGCGCACACCTCAACCAAAAAGCTACTCTATAGCCACAATAATACTCAGAACAGCATCTAACTTCATCAACAGTACATATAGGGTCCCAGCCATAGTACTAGCCACCAAACATCTTTTTAACTTTGCCTGATTTCTTTAGCAAAGAGACTAAAGGCAACTCACTCACTCTCCTCCAGCAGCCACTTGTTTGCAGGGGAGCCCTGATGAGTCAGCAGAGTTTATTTACAAGTGCAGCGGAGTTTCAAAGAACATTTATGATTACTACTTCATGGAAATGCAATCAGACTGAGATGCGAAGGCAGAAGAACTACTGAGTCTGCAGTGCAAAATAATTATGATGATTATTACTTCATGGAAATGATTCATCTCTTAGGGGGTTTCTAACTCAGTGTTACGGTGTGTTTGACCATGACTTAAATTTGTGCCCGGAATATCCCTTTAAGATGGGACTGGAAGCTGATAGAATTCCCCTACACTGCTGCTCTTACGATGACACTAAATGAAACATACTATTGATCATTTTCTAATCATGACACTTTATTGTGATTTGTCCTGCAGTTACTATCAGCAGCCAATTTGTTCCAGCTGGGGGCGCTACAAAGACACTGTGAACTCGTGTGCTCTCAATTCATCAACCTGGATAATGCAGTCAGCATCTACAAGACCGCCAAGGTATAATGTCCACACAGTGAGAGGGCCTGCATCATTCTGTGCAGTTAATGTGAACCATACATAATAGATCACATACTATAGCTGTGCCCCTGAAGTCTTACATCACTTTTAAAAGACACTATGCATGAAACATCCTCTTGTAAAATAAGATTCATAAATATAATAAATATATAAATATAATATCATAAATAAGTTATTTTACATCAGAGATTTGTGTTTCATCATAAATGACCCATAACGCACATGAAAAAGAACGTCTGGTTGCACTTTGATCCTCCTTTGATCCTCCTCTGGCAACAACATCTGACTCTGACATGTGATCTTTTCCCCTCAGGTCCATGGTTCAGCTGAGCTGAGCTCCTTCTGTGAAGGTTACTTCTTGCAGCAGATGCCAGCTCTACTGGAGAGAGAGACCTTCAGGAGCTTGCTGTTAGGACCCCCTGCTGCCCGACAAGGAAACAGCTCCACCTCTACGCTGGTTCACAGTCGGGGAGACTCACCTCTGGAGGAGCTGGAAGCCACCCTGGCTCAACGGCTACGCTCTCTCCACGTCACCTCCAGAGTCTGAGGAGGAGAGGACAGCTGCTGAGGACAGAGGACAGGATTAAGTCAAAGAGTTGAGGGGAATGTGGAAGCAGAGCTGTTGAGTTATCCCTAATGTGAGATTATATCTGAAGAGCTGTCTTTGAGTATAGATGTTTTCCCACGTTTGGTAAAAAGCAGCTTTCTGAAAAACTGAGACATTGGGATTCAGATCAGTGATAGACTTCATTCCTGTTTGATATTTTACGCCCCGACCTCGGACTTGCCATTTTTTTTGCAGTGTACAGCATAGAAACAAACAAGAGAGTTGGACAGTATGAAGCTGTTTCTCCAAGGCTCAGGAAGCTGAATGGAGAAGTAACAGTTGGATGCAACAGGTGGGAGCTGAGATATGAAACACTGCCGCCCTCTAGTGGACAAAACTGGCAACAGTAATAATTATCTGGGAGGATTGGGATCAGTGTTTCCGACTGAAGCTATGTGAAGCAAAAAGAAAAAAAGACTGAATCAAATGTTCAAGAATGATTGAGAGGGGGGCCATGCTGGACTTTTGGCCCTCTTCAAACCAATAATGCAGAGTGGGAGGAAAAAAGGAGACTCTGTGCCTCCAGTATTGATGTAAACTTTAGATTAACAAGTGTACTTTAGATGTAACTGTTTGTTTTTATTTTCTATTTTTCAAAGTATGACAGCAGAAACAAAACACTTACTGAAGAGTGAAGATTTTGGACATTTTCTATTTAATGAGGAAAAAAAAAGGTGTGAGAGTATTTATCGGGGGTGTTCCCTTTTTATTTTGTTTTTTTTTAATCCATGCAAATGAATAATATTATTGTTTAAAATGCTTTTGTGTAGCTGTTGTTTTTCCAGGTACATTAACAGTTCATTAAGCTTATGTATGCTGAGGTTTTAATGCTTCTACAAAGGTACAGCAGCTGAATCCCACATGGGGTTTGGAGGACATGTCTGTTTTAATGCTAAATATTGTAATAAACCTGGTAAACAAGTATTTTCATTTTGACTTGTGCACATTATTTCAAACATTTACTGCCGCATGCTTTTGTTGGATGGATTATACTTACCGTGAGCTCACGATAACTTTGACGTGAAAAAAAGACAAACCTGCAATATATCAAAGTGTAAGGTAGAAAAAATAATCATACAAGGTAGAAACTTTGCACCCTTTGGAGGACTGGGCGATAAAACAATAATGATAGATATCAAAAATTAATTTCCCTCAATATCAATAGAAAACACGGTCAATATGCTTTTGCGACAGCCGGCATTCTGCCATGTTTTGGTAGATTACACGAATAGCCAACGAAAAGGGGAGTTGCTCTGGGTCCGCTTCGCGCCAAAACAATCGTGCTGAATTAGAACTAAGTAGCAAACAACTGCATAGTAGCAGGTTGCAGCTACAAGCAACCATAGCACTTTAACACGTGAAGCCGACAGCACTGTTGGTGAAAAAACAGGAAAATGAGTGCTACACCCGGCAGAAATGCACATGAAAACTCAACAGATGATGACATCGTCAACAACACTGGCACGAAAACGTCTGTGATGTGGAGGTATTTTGTGTTTTTGAGGTCGGACATGAAGCAGAGTAATGTGCACTGCAAATTTTGTCGAGTACATGCTCTCGCAAAGTCAGGGAATACCTCAAATCTTTTTACCATCTGAGGCAGTGCCACGCGGCAGAGCACGCGCAAAACAGCCAACCATCCAGTCCACATTCTCTAGCGCAACGCTTTACGACAAAACGTCAAAGAGACGCAAAGACCTCACAGGTCATTGTATTGCAAAAGACATGCTACCAGGAAGCACTGTTAAATTTCATTGAAGAATAACAGGGAACATTTCAGATTGACAAGGGTTTTTTTTATATGTGATATATATTGGTATCGATTGATATGAAAAAAAATATATTGTGATAAACATTTTCCGATATCGCCCAGCCCTAACCCTTTGTATAATTCACTGCTGATAACCCTGTGTGTATGGCAGTTCCTACAAACAAAAGCTACTTGGTTGGAGCATGCACACTTACCCCTTGTGTGGGCTAAAAGAAAGCAAACAAAGACACCATAACTTAATGAGTTTATTTGTTTCAGCACTGAAGATGCTCACAGTTATTTCATATGGGGATTACATCAGTCAGTTTTGTTCCTGCTCTGTCAACAGACCCGCTCTGGGCCTCAGAATGATCACATGTCCTTGGTGCTGCTAGCTTCCCATTGTAGAAAACAGAAAGAAGGGTGAACAATAGGGTATTGCTTTGTGTTTGTGTACTGGTATCCCCTCACTGTGCCTCTTCCACCCAAACAGGTGGAGGGAGCTCAGACCTCAGTAAAGAAAGCATCGTTCAAAAACTTTGTGCACAAGATACAAAGAGGAGGAGGAGGAGAGGGGGAGGAGAGGGGGATTTAAGCAGGAGTGAGGGAAATAAAAGATAAGAAAGCTGAAAATCAAAGCAGAGGGGGAGTTTAAAACTTTCAAAGGTAGTTTCTGTGGAGAGAGAGAGAGAAAGAGAGAGAGAGAGAGAAAGAGAGAGAGAGAGGATCAATGAAGGCTGAGAGAAGGAGAGAGTTTGGCATGGAACATGAACACTAAAGCCATGCAAAGAAAAGCTCATGTTTGACATGCACACAGCAATACAAGCTAAAAGCATAGAGCAGGAATCCCCAGCATGGTTGAGAAGACAATCAACCCCCACGGTTTTGTCTGTCTATTTACAAAGAGGAGAAGAAGATCAGGATCTGTGGTGTTCTTCTCCTCAGGCCTGGCCTACGAGCACAATAATATGAAACTGACAAATATCAATAGAAGAGCATATTCCCTCTCCAAAAAGAGGCTAAGTCTACATTCTTAAATTACTGGTAAATCCTTTTTTCCCCAAGAGTTCCTACAAGTTCTCTTCCCTTCTACACAGACATTAGGGAAAAGAGAAATTGTGATTTGTCCATGTTCACATAATTCTGTTTAATTCAGAACAAAAAGAGAAAAAAGTTATTTTTTTTCTTCAAATGTCGCCCATTTACGAACACACAAGAGGGTAATAAATAACATTCAACTGACCTAACAGCTTTGTTCATATAAATAGCCAAGTTATAATAAATTAGGAAATCCAAGAGTGAGATGAACAAAAATGAATAAATAAGGACAAAAATACAAAAATATCCACAGTTGCATTTATCACGTCATTGATTTTTTTTTGTTCCTCTACTCCTACTGCTGGTATGTGAGTCTAAGAGAGAGGTATAGATGGAAAAACCCAAAGACAAAGTGCTGCAGATTACACAAACAGGAATGTTTGGATCATTATTAGGTCATTAAAACAAAGACGGAAATGATCATGTAACAAAAATACACAGAAGAATTTAAAAGAACAATAATGTGGCAGGCGCAGGTTTACCAACCTGACCCTATGGTATCTAAACATAGTGTCACAACTAGACATTTCAGTTTTTTTTACATAAGAAATGATATCAGTCTGTACAACAGAATAAATCATTCATTTTAAATACCCACATACCCACCCATGTCCCTCCCCCCCAACCCTGAACTATCGTGTCATCTTCACCCACTGCCCTACTCTGCTCTCACCCTGCTCCTCTCTGAAATCACAATTCCAGTCCGTTTGTGCAGCAATGGTGTCAAGTCTAATAAATTCAGTTTGTATTTTAAACCCAGTTCTTCACAAAGAAAGTACATTAAAAAGCAAAGAAATACAATCCAGCAAGCATCCGCGTCGGCTGTTTGGGCGTTTTCCACGAAACTCCTCCCACTTCTCTCCTCCTACGAATCAGTCAGTGTGTCTTCTTTGTGTTGTTCATGTTTTTGTTGAAACATCCCAGAGTTTTCAGTGCATACTGGACCTGTGCGTGTATGCATCTTTATGTTTTCAGTGTGGAGTGTCTGTCTGTAAAATACTTGTTTCCAAATCATGAATTCTCCTTAAGGAGGGAAAAAAGGCTGGAGGGGGAGAGGGTGTGTATTTCTGTATCGTAAAGATGTGTGTATTACTTGTGCACAGTTGTGTGTTTGTGTGTTTCTCAGATGGGAGGGGAAGGGGGGACACTAAAGGTGTTTCCATCTACTTCTACTGCCAGAGGTGGAAAAAGGGGCTCAGAGGGATATGAAGGCAGAAGTCTGCATGAAGGGTCTGTTTCCATGGTAACCCCCACCCTCACGGCGCACCTCAAAAAGCAGTCCTCCCTCAACAAATGTCCATCTCTCTTGGCACGCTTGGGGGGGTGGAGGGGTTGGCTGAAGGAGGGTTGACGGAGCAGGGAGCAGGAGGAGGGGCTTAATAGGTTTTCTGGATAATTCCTGGTATCAGAAACAAGTCAGGTCATCACACAGGTTAGCAGCACGAGAGCAGAAAACAGAGCACAGCTGATCAGATGGTTGGGGTAGAGGGGAGGATAATAATGGTGGGTAATGAGAGGGGGTGAGGAAGGACATGAGTGTGTCTGTGTGATAAATGTGCAGTCTGCTTATTGCAAAATATGACTTTGATTCTGTGAATATAATTCTATCTAAATAATTTCCTTTTAAAAAAATGTCCATAAATGAGTTATGTACATCCAGCAGTTGACAAAGTTACTCTTTGTTCTTCTGGCTCATAGAGATACTGGGATTGGTTTTTAAGACTCCTCCTGCATCCCCACAGACGCTATCGACAACCTGGCTTTTTCTCTGCCCGCTGAGGGGCATTTGGTGTCATTGTTGTCGGGCTCGTGCCTCCGGACGTGCATGGGTGAAGGGCAGCGCTTGGTGGGCGTGCCAGTGGGGTAGGGCACCTGTCCGTTCTTCTCGTCTGAAAAAAGTTGTTTTATTACGTCAAAGAAGTTACTCAATGGGCTGCCTAGGTACAAGGAGTGGAAGAGGAGAGGACAAAAAAAGGGGGGAAAGGAGAGAAGAAAAAGAACAAACAAACGAATGAACACAGGATAGAGACGAGGCTAACGCAGGTTAGACAGAGCAGGCAGAGGCGAGGAGGAGGAGGAGGAGGAGGAGGACAGGCAGACACAGACAGCGAGGATGAGAACTGCAGGGGCAGCCACGTCAAGACTATGTGATGTCAACGCTTCCAGAAATCATGCACATGTCACAGCACAACCAATGAAAACAACACAGGTGTATTCTTAATCTATCAGCTGAAGTAAATTATGAGAGTGATTAACAGTCAAGTGAATTTGTTTTACACCTAGACTTGATGATGACGAGTAAGCGATGGGTTCCAGTGCAGGTCTGACCAGGCATGATGACTATGAGGAGTTTGGTGCTTCAAAACAAAGTTTAAAGATGAATGTTTATTCTGATTCTGCCTAACTGAATCATTTTTAAAGTGGTTATTAAGACACTGTAGGGCAACTTTGGGAAGGAGTAAATCAAAAAAGGCTGCGGTCTTCTCCACCGAGTGAGAAAAATCTGACAAATAGTGGTGGTTTAGAGGGATATTCTGGCGTGAAATTAATTTGGGGTCAAACACACTGTAACACTGTAATCTCGAGAGATGAATGTTGCTGACCGCTTGCTTCTCTAGTTATACCAACTTTAGTAACAACCGCACGACAGCAAGACACAGTGGGCTCAGGAGCCACACACAAACCTTATCCAAAAAGCCACTCGTAACCACAAATAATGCTCAGAACAGCACCTAACTTCATCAACAGTACATATAGGGTCCCAGCCATAGTACTAGCCACCAAACATCTTTTTAGCTTTGCCTGATTTCTTTAGCAAAGAGACTAAACACAACTCACCCACTCTCCTCCAGCAGCCGCTTGTTTGGAGTGAGACCTCGGACTAGTCCATCATTGACTGCAGTGGGGTGACGCAGTTCAAGTTGGTATGACTAGAACAGCTAGCGGTTGGCAACATTCATCTCTTGAGGGGGTGTCTAACTCGGTGTTACGGTTTGTTTGACCCAAAAATAATTTTACGCCGGAATATCCCTTTAAGTCTGCCAAAATCAAAGCAACAACTATAATTCAACTTGTC